ATATGGTAATTTCTTCTCTTTCCTTTAAATATCAACTTGATGTTTCATTATTTCCTAGGTTTGGTTTGGTTTGATCTATTTGTTTGTTTGTTTTGACACAGAATCTTGGTATATAGTCCAAGCTTGCCTTGAACCTTAGCTATCCTCCTGCCTCAGCCTCCTAAGGTGTGCACTAACACACCCAATATTTCCTAATTTTGACAGACTAGCAACCAAAAATCTTGAACATGTGTCTTTGACCTCACCAGAACCAAGATTCTCTGTAATTTAACTAGCAACATATGTTTAATGTCCTCAAATATAAGTCTAATGGTCATAAAAGTTGGTCTAACCTCCACAAAACATGAATTAATCAGAAAAGTCCTAACATGTCACACTTGGCATCTTATGTGAATACAATGTTTCTCTACAGCACTACTAACTAATAAGGTGGTATATGAAAAGTTCATTAGAAGATCTAAGGAGCTACCTAGAGGCAAGTTGGTCACAATAGTAGATGATGCATACTTGAACAGTGAAATTCGTATGTGTAAAAAGACTTAAGAGAGAAAAAAAGGAAAGAATTAAAGGATATATTTGCCTTTTAGTAAGAAACAATGGTGAAAGTTTTAGATTGTGATTTTAAGGAATATTGGTGACAAGTGATGAGTGCACATACTCAATAATGAGAATGGATTAATCAATAGTCATAAACAATGGTACTTGTTATACACACACACATACACATACATGAGTGTGTGCATGCAGCAGTATATGTCTGTATTTCAGTCACAATTGTTCTTTCCTTCCAGCAGACTTTAACTTGCAGGAATTGGAAGACAGACAGTGGTTGTTAGTGTCTTTGGGGTTGGTATAAGAAATAGAAGCAACTTCTTATGGCTAATGGGTTGTTATCAGCTTTGAGGGAGATCTCTGCCAAAAAGCATACAAAACAACAGTAGTACATATTAACCCTTGGACAAGCACCCAATTTACATCCTTTATTAATCTACAAAAGGGTAATGATAGTGCCCTCTTGTTTGCAGCAGCATTCTTGTGAGGGTCAACTAGGTGATTCACACAAAATTGCACTGAACTCCTTGCCTAATATGAGGGATGTTGGGTGAATGGATGGATAATAATGCAAGATTTGAAGATAAAGCTGTGAGCAATGAATCATAAAGGATGACAAAATCAAGATTCAAAATGATTTCAAAAGATTTGAATTATAGGGAAACACTACTAACATGAATCAAGTCAACCTGGAGTCCTGCTTATAAGCTGACAAACAAGTTTGGTGAGGGTGTGATGGGGTTAGACTTGAATAAATAGCAGCTGTGATTAAGTGGGGTTTGATGATGTGGTGTGGTGGCCAGACAAGTAAAGCAATCTTAAATTGCTGTGCTATGGTTGTCTTGTTTGCCACTATTGCTATTGTTGTTATTATGAAATGAATCGAGAATACACTATTCACATAGCAATTTTACTTGTATCATCTCATTAACTGAAGAATTTTATTGGATCAGTGGAAATCGTTGCTCCAGTGAACTCTGTGACAAAGAACTTTTGGCTGTTGGTTCACTTCCTTTCATATCTGTGAAAGGCATGTGAACACCTGAAAGACAGCTGATGAGCATAAAGGACCAGAGTTTTAGCGCAGCAGTGGCATACACTCTATGTGTGCCCTTAAAGGATCCTTCAGCTATCATGTAGCAATGGCAATTTCTGGTCAAAAAATCTGTCTTGGAGGTTAAATGAAATCCCACATCTCATGTGCCTTTCACAAAGTCTGCATGTGGAGAGGACAACCAGTGTCACCAACTCTCAGCTTTCACAGTCACCCAATATGGAGATCTGCACTGGAGTCTTCTGAAACCTCCTCTGGCCCCTGTTCAGTTTCCAGCTACTTCTTTTATCTTCACAGGCTGGGCTCTTTCCCACCTCTAACCAAGTTGAAATGTGAATGAGAACAAACCTAGGCACTAGCACTGGCTCCCAGGCAAGCCAATAGAGTCCCATAGTCCTGATCCCCACATATTGGTGTCTGGCAAGTCTGAAAAGTGCACTAGCAACAAGAAAGAGCATGAAAAAGACAAGTTTGGTTCCTCACATCTCATAATCTAGTAGAAAATCCAGATGCTAAAATGTTTTCATACACACAGAGAAAAAACATTACTGAAGTTGAATAGTTGCTAGTGAGGAACAGAATAGGAGAATTCTGGTGCCTTGAGAAGTGATGGTTAGAGGAAATGGTATGTGGGGGTGGGGTGGGGAGTAGTAAATTCCACAACTGCCCTCCAAAGCAGGTAGCTGCAGCATTCTTGGAGAGCTCTCAGCTATTCCAGGAGGGAGCCCCTCCAAGCCCTACCCATGCGCAGATATTTGTTACTGAAACCCATTGTGGAAAATTCCCCAAGAAGTCCCAGCCACACCTTTTAGAAATCCAAACCCACCACTACTCCTCCCATTTAATAACCTCTTTCCTTCAGAGCTCAGCTCTATTAAATGCTGGAGCTCAGCAGAAGCTGCTGAGCCAGAAATGTACCTGGTCCTACTCTTCCTGGCTGTAAGTTTCTGGAAACCAAATATGTCTCAAGAGCTACCCTGCCCTTGGGCTTCTGCCCTCCCCTCTTGCTCCTCTAGCTCCAAAAGCCCCAGGGTATGGTGCACAGGTGATTGTCAGTGCCAGAATGACCTGTGCAAGTCCATGGGGTATGCATGACCACCACTATTTTTCTCCCACTATTTCTTTCACTCTAGTGTGTTTTGCAGAAAGAGCAAAGGAGGCACATACAGAGCAGAAAAGCTGACAGAAAGTCAGGAGCAGTGAGGTAGAGAGTGACACAACTTGAGGAAAAGAGAGACAGGCAAAGAGTGTGAGTGGAAGGAGGTAGAGACAAAGACAAAGAAAAAAAGACTAAGATGTGGAAAGAAAAGTTCCAGAGGGCAAAGAAGAGTGTAGGAAGCAGGGGAAGAGGGGAAGAGCCTCAGGGGAATGCTACCAATGGGTCTTTGGGAGAGCTCAGCCTTGGGAAACTCAACCATTTACTTTCCAGGGCTGTAACTACCACAGTGAGAAGATCACAAAGGCCTAGAGGTGGCAATGCACACTGGTACTGGAAAATATGACTCCTCCCAGATTGCACCACTGATGGGGAAGCCACTAGAGGGGAAGGGTGATGAATGGCCTGGAATGAAGAAAAAATTAACCTATGAGATTCCTGTGAGGATTCTGAGGCATCACAGCACTGGGCTGGGTTCCCTGCAGCCCAAAAATGCTGGCAAGGCTCCCATACCAGCTGAGGGAGCACTGGCACCCAGCCCTGTGGACTCCACCCCACCTTTCATTCCACAGGCACATATGTGGCCCCAACAGCATGCCTGACCAAGCCCAAAGCCCTAGAGATAAAACCAGCCAGGAGCATACATAGCTGCCAAGCAGGCTAGGGGCCTGGAGGAAGGAAGCAGGACAGAGACAAGCCACCAAGAGGTCTGAGAAAGTCATTTCTGGTTTAGAGAGTCAGGAACTTACTGTAAGAATTGGTTTTTGAAAGTCACCTTAGAAAACAGGGCAAATAGTGGAGATCAAGATAGGGGGTAGGAATGGTGTGGTTAACAGCATCAGCACAGAGAACTCAGAAAGACTCCTTCTTTGGAAAACAGGCAGGAGAATCCCACATGACATCCTAAGACATTTTACTTTTCTCTGTTGGAAAGGAGAGGCCTTTGCTTGACTTCCAGCAGTGGGCTGAGAGGAGCCTCAATCAGAATTCCTCTTGCTTTTTGAACTTACTGTGTGAACTGCCCCTTTGGGTTCAATCTTCTGTAAGATAGAGAATTTTAACTACCTAAGTACACACTAGTCTAGAAATAAAGAAAACTCTGGAGTCTTTTTCTCCCAGATTATAACTGTGGAAAACAAGTCAAGGGAATCCTCTTACCCTGACAGTCTCAGCGGTCTGGAAGATATATGACTCTCCTCTCTCAATGGCTACCTCAGATCTGCACATCTCTGTAAGGGTCCTCCTGCTCATCCCAAGGTTTGGGCTCCCCAAGCATCCCAGCTTGGTTCCTACAAAGGTGTGTGGTTCCTGCTAGAACTAAAGGGGAGTAATAGAAAGCAACAATCACAACAATGCTGGCAATATTAATTAGAATACGCGAGTTAACTTCAGTGGAATGCAGGCTGTATGTTGAGCATGAATTCCAAGATGCTTGCATATATTCATTCATAGAATCCTTACAACAGTCCTCTGAAGTAGTCTTAGCACATCCACCACTGTAAATGAGTAGAAGAATTTCAAAATCAAAGGACACAGAGACAAACTGCATGCAATGGCTGCTTTAAAAGCATCTGCTGGCTGAGTGTTCTGATTTTACTCAGATTGTATATTAAAGATTAACAAAAGTAAGTATCTTAGAAAAAGTACTAACCCAGATGATGCAAAATTGCAGTGTGTGTGTGTGTGTGTGTGTGTGTGTGTGTGTGTGTGTGTTTTACTGAACAGGCTGAATTGAACCAGCCTGTTCATCAGCTGTCTGCCTTCTCACTGATCTATATCCCCATCCCTATTTTTTATTTCTATTTTGAGGCAGGGTCTTGCTAAATTGCTCAAGCTAGGCTCAAAATTGTGGTTGTCCTGCCTGAGGTTTTTATAATTATGGAAACAAAGGAGTCGGTAACCTCCAGAAATCCTTTCATCATGACAGTCCAGTAGACTTGAGTCTTTCTTTCTCCATGGACAGCCTCAAATTTCCCAACCTGGGTCAAGAATTACAGAATACTGTGGTTTTGAGGCCTCTATGTGTGTTGGTGGAGATGGGAGGTCTAGAGTCTTCCCAAAACATGCTTACTGCAAGATCTGGGTTGCGGTACTGCAATGAGTCCCTGAGGCCTGGAAATGGTGTTTAAATCAAGGGAAGAAACCCTTTCCTTTGGAGGTTTGTAAGGAATTCAAAGATACCAAAAGTTGATGTCTCTTTTGTGCTGTTTGAAAAGAATCACTCAGATTGTCATCCAAGTCAAATTTATTTCTTCGGTCTAGAGGCTGAGAAATGCAAGGCAGGAGAGGTCCACATGGGAGGAGGCTCTCCTTGCTGTGTCACCAGATAGCAGAACATGGGAGGGCAAGGAAGCATATGGAGTGAGGAGAGACAGAACGAAGAAAAAGATCGGACTCACAACAAAGCACACTCACAACAGCAACATTAATGCGCTAATTATCTTTAAAAAGCCCTGCTTTTTAAATGCCTTTGCCAGTTTGCAATGAGACTTCCAGAAAGTGACTTCACTGTCTAAGCATAGTAGAGAGCTTTTTCTTTTTCTTTTCTTTTCTTTGGTTTTTTTTTTTTTTTTTTAAATAGGGGGTCTAACTTACAACCTTCTGCTTGTCAGACAGGCACTTGTGTGCTGCTGAGCTAAATCCCCAGTAGAGAGCTTTTTATGAGACCATTTCTGAGCATCTCACAATCTGCCCTTAAAATTACCTTCTAACCCTCCTGCAAGAGAGGCTGTTAAACTCACTATTCTGAGGAGCTGTCTTCAGGACGTGCCCTGCTCTTATTGCCCCAGGAAGGGCTGGGTGGGCCAAGTGACCCTTGGAGAGGCATCCTATCGCAAGAGCTCTCTGAAGCAGCATTCCTCTGGATGTGTAAATCTGGAAAAGTTCTGGACCAAGCCTGTCTGGACCGGTTGATCTTGTAGACAAACCATCCCTTCCCTTGTTTATCTCCCAGGACACCTTAGGGAAAATGATAAGGGGGGAAGAGTCAACCTAGTGAGACCTCAGGAAGCCTTGGGGAAGCACAAAGAGCTGTGTACATGTGAGCCTATTAAAGTCTAACTTGTATAAACTGAGTAAACTGTCACAGCAAAATACAGTGTAAATAAGAAAGGAAAGAAACATCTGGAGTGGGAGGAGCCCATGTTTCTGGCTCTGTCATGGTTTGTGTCAGTGGCTTCCAGGACTCATGCGTTTGCATTATGCATTTGTGATTGGTTCATTGTCTAGTGCTTGGATTGGAGGTGTGAGTGCTACACCAGCCTAGGGGTGGAGCCAGGATGTAATGTAATGGCAGGAAGAAAATGTGTCTCTCTCTTTTGCCAGTTTCTGCCTTGCTGTTTGTAGCCACCATGAACTGTGGCCCCACCATACCACCCTGCCTTGGAGCCAACTGAGTATGGACTGAAACCTCCAAAAACTGTAAGAAATAAACCTTCCCTTCCCAGCTTTGGTCATCAGCTATTTTGTCTCAGCAACAAGTAAAAAGTAACTAAGACAAGGGCTCCTTCCTTGTCTCCTTCTCCTTTTCTCAGATAAAACTCATTAAAAAAATAAACTACCTTCCATGCCTCTACATACAGCAGTGCTGTCTGACCCCTATTTAAATGGATGTGCCTGTTCTGACATCAAGGCTCTGGGTCCTGGCACTACCCAGTACACAGTGGAATCTGATCAGGCACAAGTAGACAGCAGGCATTGGGAAGTTTGTGAGGATACTGCCCTGACCTGGTCATAGTGGTGCACCCAGTACCTACCTCAGGGGTAGGGATATAGGATCATAGAGATACAGCACCCATTACAGAAAAGCTACCAGAACCGTCACTGAACCTCAGATTGGAAGGGAATAGGATAGAGAGATGCAGGAGGGATGGAACCCTGTCCACAATGACTTTCCAAAGAAGATAGGATGGAGCAAACTGGCTAAGTGAATAGGGGCCACGACTAATTTATTCTTTAATTCATCCATTTCTTCAATAAACATCTAAGAAAACTTATTAAATTCCAGACATTGCTCAGGAACTGAAGACATAGAAATAAATAAATATCAGCTACTCCCTGGAAAAAACTTACATTTACAGGCTTTAAATAAGAGCCTCATACATATCTGTACAAGTGCTTGTGTGAGCAGAGAAGAGGGGTGGGCAACCCTATCTGGGTGATGGGCAAGGGCTGGGGGCTGCCAGCCAGACCACAGGAGACGGGATACCAGGCAAAAAGACAGACACAAAGGGAAATACAAGCAGGACAGGAACCAGCCCCTCATCTCATCTGGCTGAGCAGCTCAGACATAGAGGTCTGTGAGTGTCCAGCTGTGGGAACCTGGGGACACTGGAGGATGTTAACAGGAAAGAACATTCTCATCCCAACCTGGGAAAAAGGAACAAGGTAGGGCTGGCAGAGGAGGGAGACACAAGTGCTCAGGCAAAATGAGAGGTGAGGACAAAACCCAGTGAAAGGAAGAGCAGCCCCAGAAGGAGAGGAGGCTGCTCTCAGTGTTTGAAGTGAGGCCACGTCTTGATGATGTTGTATAAAGCCTTTCCAGGAGACAGAGTATCAACCACATCACTATGGCCCAACAGCAGGTAGTCGGGGACCAGGTGCCCCTTGACCACAGCACACTGGATCAGGTCCTGGGCTGCCTTCAGCGCAACTGCATTTGGAGGTTTTTCTGCAAAACACATTTACTCAATCAATCATTAGGGCTACAAGGTCACTTGTTTTAGGGCAGGGACAAGCACCTAGATCCCATCTCTGCTTCCCTCACCCCACTGCATACCACCACTACCTCAGCCAACTCATTTACATGAACTGTGGAATCAGGTACAAAAAGAAGACAAGGCTAAGGTCTTCACCCATTCCTCCTGCTCAAAGTTTCTTTCAGAAAGTCAAAAACAGCTCTGGAATAGAAGTCCAGCAGGATACATCACTTCTCAGTAGGTGAAACCCACCAAATCATCCACCACTATGCCACAGGATGTGGAGTGTAGCTCAGATTGTTAGCAAGGAAGCACACACATTTGCCAGCTGACCCATAAAACCTCAAAGATTTCAGATGATTTTTTTTCTCTCTTGCCCCATGCTTTCTTGAACATGGCTTTAAAGTGAGATGGGTCTGGAAATGGGAATGGTGAATTAGGGATAAATGTTTTTCTGGGTGGGATTTCTAGTGACAGTCATCCCTTGTTGACAGTCTACTTTGAAATTAAAATGTTTCACCAACAGTGCCTGGCACCCAGTGCTGCCTTTTGCCTTATTATAATATTCATCCAGAACCCCTCTACCCATGCTCACCCCTTACCTACAAAATTGCCCATGAAGGCAATTCCCAGAGCGATATCATTGTATCCGTAGGTGTGAGACCCTTGGCTGTACCAGCCAAGCCCTTCATACACTCCACCATCCTCGCCTACCAGGAAGCTGAGATTGGGCAAAGAAAAATGAAAAAGTCACTTTAGAGAGCAGGATGTTTTGTTTCACTTCTTAAATCATTAATGACTGGATGTTTCTCATGTGCCAACAACAAAAACACAATCCACTGCAATGTGGGTTTTGCCCTCACCATGCCACTGACCCTGACCCTTCTGAGTGACCAGCATCTTCCTTGGTAAACAGAGGACATTTCTCTTACTTTTGGAAAACATGGGCCATGCTGACTATATTTCTTGAAATGTTTTTCCCTCAGACTTTCATAGGCCTATGCTCTACTGATTCTGTCTACTCCACTGCTTTCCATTGGGACTCTGCCATCCACCTTGCTTTCCTCAGATCTTAGGATGTTGTGTTCCTCAGAACACTGCTCTTCCTCCTCAGGACTGTGGCCTAGTCCTATCTCTCCTTTCCCTCAACCTACTCCCCTTGGACAATCACTCCCATAGCTTCAATTACCATCCATAAAATCCAACATATCCAGACAAAACCATCATCTTCTTCAATTTCTCCAGCCAGAAAATTGGACATCCTAAATGCCTCTCTCTCTCTCTCCCAGCTCCATCCAACCACTGATCATGACTTGGCAGTTTTGTTTCCTACACAGCTTTTAAATCTCCCCACCTCTGTTTATGAGTTGCCATTATCCCTGTCCTGGGTCACTGATGACTGAAATAATTCCCTGCCCTAGGGTTTGTCTCCTTCCAATCCATTTAGAAAGCAGCACCAAATGATTTTTCTAACATACAAATCCTATCACAGGGCTTTAAATAGTCTCTGGATACCTTTCAAATAGTCAATCGTCAGGGTCAATGATAAAGGGCCATGATGTGACTCCTTTAAGCCTCTCTAGCTTATCTCTTACTATTTTTCTTTTGGAAGCTTAGTTTTAGACTTGAGTTAAACTGATTTCATCCTTCTAAAACAGTGTTCTTTCTAGCTCCCAGGCTCCACAATATGATTTTCTCCTTTATCTGGACCATTCTTTCTTCTTTGCTAAGCTGATTTCCACTGCTTCTGCATGTGCCAACATGAACACCCCTCCCTCCGGGACTATTCTCTGATGCCAGTCATCTTCCAAAGTCTTGAATAGAGGCTCATTATATGCATATTTTGTTTTATCCATCACGGGGCCTAACATTTTGTATATAATTACTTGTTTATCACTTCTCTTAACTCTATAGGGGAAGGAAAGTGTTATGGTTTGATAACTAGTGGTCAACTTAATGCCAGCTGGATTACATCAGCATGCATTGAGAGAAGATGCTCCACCTGAGAAGGATTGCCATAGAGAAGAGAGGTGTGGAGAGGGATTGAGGTGTTATGGAGGCATTGTTGGTTCTCCTATGAGTTGCTGTCTGAGCTGTTGGTTCTCCTGGAGAAGCTTTGGTCTTCACATCGAGCATTGCTTCCTGGCTCCGGAGGGGAAGACATGTGCTGCCTGGTCTCCAGGATGAATTCATCACACTGCTTCCTGGCACGTACCTGACTGTGCTTGTCATCGGAGGAGCTCGGGGCCTCCATGTCGCTGAGGACAGCTGTGATTCCTTTCAGGACAACCTCACTCTTTGTTGTGAGTGTGACTTCTCAGCTCCAGTGTAGAACCCTCATCCCACTAGCATAGCTCCTTCATCCTGCTAGCATAGACTTTCTGGCTTCCACCACTGACCCTTGGGTCTTCCCGGCACGAATCCGTAAAAGAGACTGGCATGAGTCCTTGTGGGCCTTGAACTTCCAGTTGGACTCGTGGAGGCATTGTCCTGAGCTCTGGGTTTTTATCTGTACTCATGTGGGACATTGCCATGGGGTTTAGACTCTTGACTAAATAATCTATGTTGTTGGTGTTGCGGATGGATTTCCTGCATTCTCCTGTGTTAACTTCCAGAGACCATTATAAAAATATTATAAACTCCATGTCCTGATCTGAATTGTTCTCTGTGTATAACCCCAGACTACAACAGACAGATAGAAATGTTAGGGAGTTAAAAAATAGTGAGTAATACTTTGTCTTTGTTGCAGTCCACATTGGGGCTAGCAATGGTATATGACATGACCAGAGTGACCAGAGAAAGGAAAGATTTCCCCAAAAAGTTTCAAAGTCAAGAGACAGGGATCATGTTTCTTGATGACTGAATGATGAGGAAAACAAATGTTGCCTCAGCTTTTAACTTTTGCCTTTTGGAATTTCTAAATGTGAAGCCCATCCTCTATAACTCATGTTAAGTAACTATAGCAAGACAAACAAAACTGCCCCATGCCACAGGTTCTCGCCTCTGGCCACAGTCTTCCTTAAAACATGAGAGTCAGCCAGTCAGAATAATATGCTTGACCAAGATCAGAAACTGTGATTATGACTCTGAATAATGGAAATTTACTATATTCTATCCCTAAATTCTTCTATAAAAACCCCAAGGAGTCTCTCAAGTAGCTTTTGCTATTCTAGTAAAAGGATAATTTGCTATCCTGTTAAAAGGATAAAAGGATTTTTTGTTATATACTTGCCTTTAAAGGATCCAAAGGAAAATATTTTCATTTCACTCCCTGTTTTTAAATAGGAAATATATTGTTGGCCCTAAGCAGAGATGAGGCAAAAGAGGGATAGGAAGGTTAAAAGCTCCCCTATCTATAAATGACATCAATGGCAGAAGAACAACAGGATTCTAACATCAGAGAGAGCAAGTCTGGGTTCGGGTCAGATATAGGCAGGGGAGATGAGGGCCTTCACCTCTGACAGGTGACAAGGAGCCACATAAAAGGCACCCTCCTTCAATGTCCTTTCCCAAAGCTACCCAGTCTTACATTGTCACTACTGCTTCTGAAGTTTTCTTTTCCGGGTCTTCTCAAGAACATATCCATGAGGAATAATCAAGTCTAGCCATATTCAGTCAGACTTGTACAGGAAAGAAAGATGATGCTTTATTTAAAGCACTGAGTATGGATCAAGAGGTTACTCAGTATTGGTTCTGTTCCCAAGCCTTCCTTTCCACAGCTCTCATCTTACTTACTGATATCCGATGTCACAAAAATCTTGTTTGTCCATGTGAAATGACTGTATACCTCTGATGCGAAGCAGGCAGTCCATGGATACATTACAGCCTGTTCCGGCTGTGTGGATAATGATGGCATATTTGGCTGGGAGGTTCATTTGAGGGCAGTGTGTCTCTCTGGCTTCCCAAGTAGATCGTGGGATGATGTTGGGGCAAACTGGGATGCAGTAAAAAACCAAGGAAATGAGAATTTGCCTTTGTACACTATCAGCAGTCACAGAATCATAGGCTGGGTTGTGCCTCAGTCTCTCTCCGACATCCAGTATTTATTGGCACTTCCTAACATGAACTTAACTGCAAGAGCCTAAAAAGTCTAGGTGAGATTCTCTAGATCAGGTCACTGGGGATACAGGATAGGGTTCTCAGAACTATAGAAACCAGTGTATAAATAGAATGGACTGTTGGTCAGGCAGAATCAGTCATTTTCTTCAAAAAACAAGAATTCCTACATGTTTACATATGCATTATAAATACATTACAAATACATGTCCGTTAGTGAACAGGACAGATATGAAAACATTAGCTGTCTCTGAGCTGATAACATGTGTATGAAAATAATCTAAAATCTGTAAAATAATCTACAAATATTAACTTACTATTGAAGACTTTACCATCCTAAAAGCAGTAATAACTTTATTAAGAGATTTATAATGTTAAAAATTTAATTAAAAATGTCAATGAGGGGCTAGGGATTTAGCTCAGTAGCATAAGTGCCTGCCAAGCGAGCACGAGGTCATGAGTTCAATTCCTGGCACTAAAAAAAAATGCCAGTGAGTCTCCGAAAAGGCCTACCTCAGCACAAATATTTCAAGTGCTGACATTTTACCTTTTTTTTTTTTTTTTGGTATCAGGGATTGAACTCACGACCTCACGCTTGCCAGGCAGGAGCTTGTAACACTAAGCTAAATCCCTGGCCCCTATCAGTTTTAAATTATTTTTTCTTTTTAAGACAGTGTGACACTTTTATTACTCAGTTTCTTGGAGTATTCACTATGATATCAACATAATCTGTGAATTCAAGTGTTTCTCAGTTCTGTGGCCATTTGCATATTGACTGTTTTTCGCAGTTAAGAAAGTTGTGTGTGTAAATACAGTATAGTCACACAAATATGTAAATTCAGTCACACAAATATGTAAATATATTTATTGCATTCCACTCCCATGCATTGTTTCTTTCATAGTTTCTGGGCCAAGATCATATATTTCACTTGTTGGTTAGCTTACTTTCTGATTTTCCTCACTGTGTCATGACCTCCCTGAAGGTAGGGAGGTCTGCCTGCTTTGTTCACAGCTGTATGACCAGTATCTGAAGAGCACCTGATAATAAATATTTGCTGAATGACACTTGTGCACATGTGTGCACACACACATATTTGTATTAAGAATGAGTCCATGTAAATATACTAGTGGGATTGAGAGGAGACCAGGAAGTTGCCTTCTCAGAATCTCCTAGGTCCCAAAATTATGACATGAATGAGAAGTTCTTGATGAAAGAAGCCCACAAGAATCCAACAGGAAAGAGCACTCCCAGATGCAGCTGTGTGAGAATAAGTAGGAAGATGAGGTGGGGCTTACCTTTACTGGATATCACTGGATGTTGAGAGCCCAAGCAGACTTCTTCTTTCAAGAGATGCAGCTGAATATACCTGGGTGACAGGTGACCATTCTGGATTGCGTAGACAATTAAGCCCTCTGCAGCTGATAAGGCAGCTGGGCTGGGACTGCTGCCTTAAAGAGGGTGACAGGGAACATAGAACTGTCAGGAAGGAACTCCAATTTAGCCTAGACTTTTGAGGGAGGACAAATGCTCATCTACTCATGACTAACAGTGAGTAGAAAGAGAAGAAATTGGTCCAAAGGCCAGAACAGAGGGTCTAAGATATAAGAACTATTTGGACAGTTTTGACTGCAAAACGTAGGCTTTATTTATCAACTTCAACTCCAGATGGAAAGACCAGGAGGAGGAGACACATCTGAGTAAGGCAAGTGTGTTCTACCATGGGAAAAATGTAACAGTTATTTACTAAGTAACTGTCATCATCAGGCATGTGCTAACCCTTTCATATCCATTAGCTCATATAGTTCTCACAGAAAACCTCTAAGATAAATGCTCCTACTAGCCTGATTATCAATCAAGGATACTGGCAGGCACCAGTTAATTGTCTATTGGCTCTCAAGTCCATCCCTGTTTGTGCAATTTTCAGTTGCTTAGTGACCTGGAAGCCTACAAATGACATCTCCCAGAATTCCTTGCCTAGTGGCTTCTGTTTAGTTTCTACCAACAGAAGACACTAGAATAAGATATAAGCCATGCTTTTCTGTCTCTGACAGTCAGAGCATTGGTCTCAGACAATGTCAGATTCCAGAAGTACTGGCAGTAACTGAGTTCAAGTAATGTCCATTGTTTACTCAGAAGTACAGACCAGAAAAAGGAAGAACTCAAGAAATGCATGTCATAGAATCCAGCGGGGGGAAAAAAAAAACTTCAAAAGGGGGATGATTATTAGAGAAGACAAATATGATATAAGCTGAAAAGATAAGTGTGTGAGACTAGGGGATGGAGGAAGAATGCACACTACTCTCTGGATAAGATTTCATAAGAGTTCATGGCCATTACCTATCTTACTGCCAAAGAAGGCAATACCCAAGGAGACGTTGTTGTAGCCCGGAGTGTGCAGTCCTTGGACATTCCAGCCAACACCTTCATATACCCTGCCATCATCCCCGACCAGGAAGCTGCCAAGCAAGGACATTTGGGTAAAATGATAAATCTCTATAACAGAACACTTCACACAGATCCTCAAAAGATAAGCAGGGGCTGGGGATTTAGCTAAGCGGCATAAGCACCTGCCTTGCAAGTGTGTGGTCGCTGAGTTCGATGCCCGGTACCAATTTAAAAAAAAAGAAAAAGGTAGACAGTGTTCTAGAGGTTGTAAATAAGCACTCTTCTTCAATAACATAACTATGAGGGAGAGAAGAATAACCAATTTTAAACTTCCAAGCACATAGGATTTAGAGATCAGCATCTGTAATCATTTAGAAACATGTGACTGAAGTAGTTGATGCTGCAGTAACATGCTAAGGCAGAGGAGGTAGCAGTGGAAGGGACAGATAGGCTATAGTTCATGCAGTCTATACAGCATTCACGGAGGGAAGGCCAGGAGCCCCACCATTGTGGGGATTATTCTTTCCAAAATGAGCATTGAGAAGTCATTTCTCTTTTTCTTTAAAATTCTATGAGAAGGGGACTCCATTTCTCTGTTTCCTCTGTCTCTGTCTCTGTCTCAGAAATGCTTTGGGCTTCCAGTGAAATCTTCACAATAGATACTCAATGTACAATGCAAAATTCTTTCATGCAGTTTGAGCTGGTGCTCTGCTCCTCACCATTCTGATTCCTATTCCTATGATACCTGATCTCCCTGTTAAGATGGCCATCAAGGTAATGAATAGGAGACTGCTTCACAGGGTGCAAGCCCTAGGGGTGAAGAAAGAGACAAAACTGAGCTAATAGACATTCTCAAAACCGTTCTAGGTCTTTATTTCCTTGTAGTGTGTCACTTAATACAATTTCTTCAGTCTTTCTATACCATGGCATCTTAATCTGCAAAGTGAAGGCAGTAATATTTCTTCTGCCTATTCCTTGGAGTATTTGGAGGGCTTATCTGAGTCATATTTTTGAAGAATTTTGTGCACAGAGTCATCCAACAAGCTTCCAAGGATGACTGTAGCTAACCTTTGATTGCTTTTAGACTCCCAGGGTCAAAAAACCACTTATAAAAGTAAATGGCTCAGAATTATTCCCCTTAATGATTTTTGGAGGAATCAAGATTTTGCTTGATTACTTTTAAATATGTTTTATTTTGTCTATTATAAAAGCAATATAAATGAAGCCTCCTAAAATGGAGAAGCAGAGAAGAGGATGTGGGGAGCACCATAGGAGAGGTAACTGAATATGAGCTTCAAGCACTTGACTGACTTCTTACTTGAAGGCCAAGTCACACCAGCCTTTGATGTGGACAGAATGGGACTGCATGCCCCGCAGCAGTTGGATACAGATGCTCTGCTCCTGGCACTCCATCCCCGGCAGCTGCTCCGTGATGAGGTAGGGCACAGGTGGGCTCAACAGAGCACTGCAGGTGAGTGGTCTTGCTCCCCATTCATTGCGGTATACCATGATGGGAGTACCTGCAAAAGAGACCACAGAGTGGCATGCAGTAAGCCCTGCCCAGCCGGGGCTGCCAAGGAGGAGGCCCACATCACCCATAGCCTCCCCTTCTCATCTCTGTAGCCTGTTTGACTCTGTAACCACCCAGGAAGACTGTACGAGGCCTAGGAAATCAAGTTTTCTTGCTCCCCAAACAGTCCCTCCTTGTCTGTTCCTAGATGAAAAACTTCTTTCCTTTCTGGCTTCTTCCATCTCTTTATCTTCAGACAGCATTCTCAGCTGACACCCACAACCTAGCCCCTGAAGCACATCAGCATGGATGCCTGAGAATCTTCTTCTGTGTTTTGGACCCTGAGTCTCTGCCTCTCTTGCTTTCGTACTCAGACTTTTCAGAGGAAGGTCTGCTAGTTTTCTCAGTGAAGGCTCCAATTCCCTAAGCATGTGAGGGAAGTCTCCATCTGTCAGATGAAAACTCTCCAGATGTTAAGCTGTAAGATCCCCACATGGGACCACAGGTGTCCAGAGGACTCTCTTTCTCTCTCCTCTTGAGTTTCTGGAGGGTTATGAGGAATAGGGTACCTCCATTTACACCGGGAGCTGGGAAGTAAGGCATGTGTCTATTCTTGATGAATTTCCTCTCCTCTCTTTCTTTTCTTGCACTTTCTTTTCTTTGTCTAAAACTCAAGGAAGTCCCTAGGAGTTGCTGGCAAATGATGCTTATGGGATTCTACTCCACCGACTCAGTCTCAGTCTAGACAGAATCAAAAACCCCACCCTAACCCTAAACTAATGTCCAAGCCACTTCACTATTATGGCCATTGTGGATGAGCTAGAAAATGCTAAGAAACAGGTTCAGAAGTTTCTCTGAGATGCCTCTGGTGTGGGTTTCATTCCAGAGTAACTGTAGGACATTCCCTGAAAGGGACATTTTTGTTCATATTTGATAACTCTTGGATGATATGCTAGAGGCATAAGTCAGACATCACCACCCCACAGCCCATCATAGCCTTTCATCCTCCCAGGTCTCCATGCATCTTAGGAAGTAACACAGGATTACAACATATATCTTTGGTCTCAACATGCCTCTGCCTCCCACATGTGTCCTAAAATGGCCTTTAGTAACCTCCTTCTCCAATCTTCCCTCCAATTCAGGAACATAGAAGCTGTGCCTGTCACCTTTTGTGAGAAATGCTGTCTTTTCTAACTCTTTCCTACCAATTCCTACTGATATACCTACCAATCAGTATCCATTAGAGTGCTACATACCAAGATGGTCATTGTTTTTACCTAACACTTACCATGCATATTAAGCACTTATTGGTGCCATGAAAGATTCTTGAAACATAGTAATATATGGATCCTTGTGACTTCCCTAAAAAACTAGGTATTTTAGACAGGCCATATTGAGGGTTAATCTTCAACAACATGTCCTTATTTCCCAGAACTTCTGATTAGTTTCAGAAACCATGGAAGTAATAGCTGCCTGCAATAGCAATGTTGTCCCCAATATCACCTCCCCCAGGCCAGCTCTGTGATGATGAACCTCCTAAAAGATACTCCCTGATTTGGATTAAGAGCAATTTCATGAAATAAGCAAAGCAAAATAATTATTCCCTCAACAAATTTTAAGCTGTGATGTTAGATTCCTACCAGACTGATGTCAGAGCTGGAGGCCACAACCACCCCCCTCCGCAAATGTCCCACTCTCTTGTCAGCTGAACTTGAGGAAGTTACTGCCTCAGTGAGGCCTGGTTCTCTGTTTAGAAGACAAAGTCAATGAAGATCTCCACCGTGGTTCTAGGATTCTGTTCCTTTTGGAAACGATGGCCAAATACATGACCCCAGCCAACAATGAGGTTGAAGTGTGCTGGGCAGCTAGAGACTGCTGAAGATAGAGCCCATCTCATCAGGGAGAGATGCCTGAGGTGTAAGGAGAAGCACAGGACAGGGAAGAGGAGTGACAACTCATAATAGAATTATTTTCAAACCAAACCCAAAGGAACCTACAGTGAGAGAACATTCATCAGTCTAGACCCACTGCCAAGTGGGGAGGACAGCTACAGAGCAGCAACCAGGAGCCTGGGGAGGTAGCCAATCCCAACTCATTGCCTTGCTTGGATATTTTTTTTTTTTTTTTTTGCTATTAGGATCTCAATTCCCTTGTCCTTAAAATGAAAGGCTAACCATGTATTTTCTGATATTTGAGTTTTTCCAACAGTAACTCCAATATCATTATGTCTAAATAATAAGGAACAGAGAGACCTTTGTTGCATTATTGCTTCCAAACAATCATTATTCACACAAGACAATATGAAAACACATTCAAAAGTGAAGAATTACTTAACTCACTTCCATTTTAATTCAACAGCATCTGTTTTTAGGCATTTACTCCATGTCAAATCATATGTATAAAACTGTAAGAAATATTCTGATGTGTTAAAGAGTAGTGTTATTCTCAATGAGAATAACACATCGCGCCAATAAGCTCTTGTAAATGTTGGCCCTAATGCAATATTTAACCCCCTGATTAGTATAATGACAATGGTAAGATAATTAAATTATACCACAAATTACTTAGCACTTATTTCTTGAGCTTTGTATTAAATGCCTCACAACTGGTATATAATTTAACTCTCAAAAAAAATCCAAGAAATGAGCAATATAATCCTCATATCATGAAAGCAAATCAGACTCAAAAAACTAAGTAAATTGTTAAAGACTGTAGTACATATGAGGCCAAGGAGTGGAACAGAGGTCTGTCAACTCCAGAACAGAACTTAAAATTATAAAGTTACACTATCCTTTAGCAAAGGGAGAACACTGTGGTAATTTTTCTGTTATTCAGTTTAATGACAGTGAGTCTTTGAAATCACTTCTAACACAAGGAGAAAAAACTTACCACAGACCTGAAGACTCACAGCAGAGAAGACAAGAAGCCAGGTCAGCATCTTCATGGTGTTCCAGGACACCAGTAGGGAGAGTATGGATGCCAACCCTTGAGGGCAGTGACCCTGGAGAGACACTGGCTGTTAATATGAGCATGATTACTTTTAAAATCAAGCAGCCACTTGCTGCCCAGTATATCTGCCTGTTCCCTTACCACATTGTGGCCCACTGAAGGTAGTACTTGGCTCAGTTTTCTTAAGTTCTGCACGTATCAATAAATCTAATCAGATTAATATCCATTTCTAGCCACCCCTCTTCCTACCTACCTCCCATTACCTGTGGAGCTCCTAGTCCCTCAGAAGAACCCAGTTCTCAACTTTATGTCTTCCAGGATAGATAATAACAATTTCTAAAACTGTTGAGTAGTTGTTATGAGCAAACCCTGTGCAGATATTTCCATGTCTAGGGCCACAATTTTACTTCTCATAAAATCTCGATAAGACATGCATTCTGAGTCCCACTGTTAAAAGAGCAATGATGCTCAGAGTGAATGACTGATAGAGTCGGGCATGGGCTCCATCACATGCATTACTAGAAAATAGGAAGTACTTAAAGTCATCTGAGTCAGTTCCTCACTCTGCAATGATCCCTGGAAGATACCCAGATAATTTCTTCCTGAACAGGAATGAGAATTACAGTAGTTACCACTTATTGGTTCCATACTATGGTCCAGGTATTTGCTGAGGTTTCCATAGACATTTCATTAAGTCTCATAGTGACTTATGAGGCCCATAGTTTCCATCAGAAAACTGAAATTCAGCTAAATTAAGTCACTTGCCCAAAGTTGTCTAACTAGTAGAAGCAGAACTTTAAGCCTACTATCCAGGCATGTCTGACTCTAGAGCCTCTGTCTGGAACTTCACAATCTGCCTGAGTTTTATCAGTGGAAATTTTCAGTATGCCCTCAGAAGTAAAACCACAGGATGGCAATTATCTCTCTTAGCTCCTTCAGGCAGAAATGAATTGCTTACTCATGCTCAATCAATATGAAGTATCAAGTATCTCAGCTATCAACCAAAATTACAACTTACCCATCAACTGAAAAATAGAAAATCATTAACTTTCAAGGTTTTTATATAACAATCAGAGTACACAGGGAGCAAATTTTTGGAGCCACAGATTAAGAATTAAGCACATAAAACTTTCCTGAATCAGGACAAGCAACCTCTTAGCAAGTAACATCCAGGATTCCATTCACTTAGGAAAACTATGCATTAAAGACAAAATGATCCCATCAGAAATAAGCAGACACCTAATAAATATGAATGAAAGTACTCAGCTTTCCTCATTAGCTAAATGAGAAATAAGGATTAATTTGTCACTTTATTTCCCCAAAAAAGAGCTAACCTTTGCAAGGCAAAGGAATCAGAAGCCACAGTCATAATCAGTAGGAGGTTTAGATATAATTGAATCATTCTGTACCTCCAATCATGAATATTAAAATCACAAATCTTATCCCAAGCTGTTTATATCACACACTTAAGGCTTTAGGCTAGTACCAATTTTCCAGGGTCACAACTAATGATGTCTCCCATCCTACCTTCAACAGCAGAGACCACACAGGGACTTGAGCTCTGGATCACATTGCTATGCATCATTTATACTTAAATATAACTGGACCCAAGTGAGATATAACAAGTACAGAGTTAGCGCTCTATAAAAAGGGAGGAAATTATTTAGAGGTAATTCTAGGACCCAAACTTGGCAAGGTAGATCAAGGAATGTTAGTATCAAATTCATTTAGGAAAATGCAAAATAGAAAAAAATTCCTGATTTGAAGAAAGCTTTCAAAAGGGCAGATCAGGGGAACTTGTTCCACCATGTTTACCATGATGTAGCTCAGCTCCTTCTAAGAGAACATTCCAAAAAAGAACACTCACACGCATGCTCAGAAACACTTGTGGACCCTGTGCTATTCCAGCCCAGTAGGTCAAGGTGAAGTCCACTTGCCTCTCATTGGATGGCAGCTCCTCCCTTCAGATTTGGCTTCCAGGTCCTGTCCCTCTTCCAACTGGTTTCTCCTCCTCTTCCTCCTCCTCCCTCTCCTCTTTCTGCTTTTCTTCCTCCTCCTCCTTTGTCTTCCTCTTTTAACCCTTTCTGTCCCTCATACTAAGAGGGAAATTTCTCCTTGAGAAGAGAGAATTTGAGCTCTGCCTTCTCAGATAGAAAAAGAAAGTCCTGTGTCCCTAACAGAAGATGGAGGACAGAGATCTGAGGCTGGGAGCTGATAATGTCCACAGCACTAAGAGGAGCTCAGGTGAAACCAGACTTTAGCTGAGAGCACTTGGGGACCCACCCTGTGAGTAAGCCCAGGTGCCTCCTCCCTGGGAAAGGGCCTGATTGCCCAACTCTCCAGGGGTGCCTTCCTCATATCCAGCCATCAATAAGCCCTTCCAACATAGGCATCTCTTGTGGGGCCAGGAAACATTGTCTCTGTCATCTGAGAGCTTCCAGTTCATGGAAGCAGTACTACTCTAGGAGTCTGAAGTCTGTAGATTGAGGTCATTCATCAAGATTTCTCCATTTAGGGGAGTCCACAGATGGAGGAATAGATATAGAAAACTGTCTTCTTAGGAAATGTCTCACAGTGTGTCATTACTAGGCCTTTTGATCTTGCAGCCACCATGACCATTCATTGCCCTTTCCAACCTCAACATCCAGCTGTTCTGGGAAACAAAGCAATGACCTCTAACTCCTCAGCCACTCCTGATTGTGGCCTCTGTCTTCAGCTCTGGCTTCAGATTCTTTTTACCTTCATTGCACAGCTTCATGCAGAAGACTTTCTTATACTGCTCTGTTGAATATATCTGAACTGCAGCTCCTAGAAGTGGGAATGGTCAGACCAGAGGTCTGCCATCACTCTTCCAGCTGAGAGGGGATTTGGATAATTAGTGTTCTACATATGGATCAGCCAGACTGCATTTTAGTGCTAGAAGCTGAGAAGATCCCTCTCAGAACTCAGAATCTCAAAACCTGCTGGCCTTGGAAAGAGACATGCACAGTGAGCACCACTATCATTAGTAGTAATATACTGTACTCATGATAACTGCTGAGAGTAGACATTAAATATTCTTAACACTAAAAGTAAGAATGTGAAGTGATAGATGTGTTAATTTAGTTGACATAACCATTTCAAAATGTATGTATATATCATTAGCACATCATGTTTTGTACCATAAATTTATACAATTTTTATTTGGAAAAAAAGATTTACAAATCCACTGTAAATCACATAATCAAGATGGGGGAGGGGACAGAGCAGCAAAAATTAATACCAGAGGCCACAAGGCCTGGTTAAGTGACCAGCATCATGGATAATCTTGGGGTGGGCAATGAGACTATCAGGAGCAGAACCTGGAAGCAGCAGCAGATGTTTATCTTCAGAACATGGTGCCACCCAAAATGAGTACTGCTGTAGATAGGTCTGCCAAAGAACAGGACAGGATATGAGAGCTGGTGGGGCTGTCAGAAAAGCAGTGGAGTGTACCTGAAAGTGAAGGCTGGACCACAGTGCATTTAGTGAATAGGTCAGTAGGGGGCAGCAGCAGCAGAAGCCCATAAACTGGGACAGAAGAGTCATTCACATTCTCCCACCCAAACCAAGACTGTCACCAGGTACTCCTGCAGCAGCTAAGCCAGAAAGCTCCAACAGCTAAAATTTTAATGATGCAAATGTAAAAGTGTCACATTCCAGAGGAATATAGCAAGAAATAAATTTTAACAGAAATTTTTTTCATTGTCTAGCTACGAAAGGATATTTTAACTAAGTGTGGCAGTGCGTTCCTATAATCGTAGCATTCCAGAAGACTGAAACAGGAGGATTTAAAGTTTAACCCAAGACCAGGCAACTTAGTGACTTAGGGATACTCTGTATCCAAACTAAAAAAATCTAAAAAAACAAAACAAGAAAAAAATAAAACAAGAGAGAGACTAATCACCAGTACCACAAAAGAGGAGAAAAAGAATAGCAAGAGAAGGAAAAGAGGGAAGAGGACCAGGACGGGGAGAGAAAGATCAGGGAAAGAGGAGGAGACAAAACAGAAGTAAAAGATCTCAACGAATAGTCCAAGGAAACTGAAATAGAAAAAAAGAAAAAAACATTACAGAGATAGTGTACATAATACAAATTTATTTATTATATTTGGACTGTACACTTAAAGTAGTTAAGATGATTAATTTTATGTGTATTTTATCACAATTTTTTAATTGGGAGAGAAAAACGATTAGAGAAAAAGTGATCCACCTAGAAGATGAGCAAAGAAGATCCATCACACCTATCAAAAAAGGAAGACAAAAGTGTCAAAGAAAAAATCTTTTAAATAATAATTCAAGAAATCAAAGAAAGTATAATCTTTCTTGAAATATGACGCTTTTTTACCTCACAAAGTTTCCTAGAATACTAAACAATAAGATGTATTGTGGTACTTAAAATATTAGGTAACATCTTTTCATCCAGCCATGAAGAGAGGCCCAGACTGAGATGCCAGTCTGTGTCAAGTGCCTGTTTTTGGCATTGTCTTATGGTAGAAAGCAGATGTGTAAGAATGCAAGAGAACAAGCTCATTCCTATAGCCACTTTTTATAATGGCATTAATGTATGTGTGAGGGCAGGCTCTGATGATCCAAAAGACTCCCTGTGAATCCTGCCTTCCCAACTCTTGAGTGGCAGATTAAGCTTTTGACACATGAATCCTGGAGGACACACTGAAACCAAAGCAAGGCTCAGGAGCAGTAATACGTATCTAGTATCTGTGCCTTAAAACTGTTTTTTTGTGCCTTTTATTCTTTGAAGGATAGGCTGGCTGTATATAAAAACCCTTTCTCATGTTTATTTTTTCTGTAATGAGTGTCATACAGATATTCTTCCAATGTAAGTATTGCTATAACTATTGTTCTTGATAAGTATCATGCTGACCTGATTTTTCTGTTATAAATGGGCCTCTTTTTATGGAAGAAAAAAAACCTGGAGAGTCCTTGCCACGACCTTGAAATCTGGACAGTTTCTGATTCATGTATCCAGTTAAAGGAAACTCAGTTTCTCTTTCCTATTCTTGCTTACATCCTTCAGCAGAGGGGAGGGCGGGGTAGGAATGTCTGTAGAACAAAAAGATGGAGGTAGACAGACAGCTCATTGATGACATAAAAAGAGACATTTCCTCTGTCGCTGTTCCTATTAGGAAAGAGGGAAAATCCAAACTACACAGCAGCCTAAGGGAAAATGACCGATAGGGAAGAGAAACTGATATATTGTACTTTGAAAAGCACAAATATATTTTATTTGAAATTATGAGAACTCTTACATTTACTTCTGATGCTATAAGACTACAGAAACACGTTCAAGACAAAATCTAAAGAAATAAAAATATTTTCAACATGACAACCTCTTACCTTCTTTCCTGATCTCCTTTTATTCCCCTTTCTTTTTTGTAGACCAAGAGCCAGAGGTGGAGGGGGACTCTGGCTTCCAGCAAGTAGGAATAAGAGGGCTGCAGACCATCAGGACCCTGAGACCTCACTCTGTCCAGGTTCCACCACAGCCTGGCCATGTACATGTAGGCAGCAGGCCCTGAGCTTCCTGTGAGGACACAGACCTGGCCCTGCAGAAGTGTGTGGTACCTGCCCTCAGGCTATTCCAGACCAACAGGGACACAGGATACTGGAGACCCAGAACCCATTACAGACAATACCAAGAATTCTCTGCCTCGGATTGTGAAGAAACATGAGAAAATGCAAGTGGAGGAAACTGTTTCCAGAGGAGTTCCCAAAGAGGACAGGGCAAAACAAACTGCCCAGACAAACAGAGACTGGGCCCACTCATTTATTTATTCTTCCATTTCTTCATCAGACATCTAAAGAATCTAGTAAATTTCAAATACTCCTCAGGAACTGAGGACATAGTAATAAATAAAACTTGGCTGTTTCCTGGAGAAACTTAAAATTCAGGAATGATAACAGACATATGTATAAAAACTTATACCTTTTAAATAAGGAAAACATACAAAGCTGTACAAGACAATAATGTGTGAGCAGAGATGAGAGGTGGGTATCATGGCGTGGGTGATGAGTGAAGGCTGAGGCTGCTGGACAGACTGCAAGAGGAGGGAACTTAGGCACAGAGACAGGTACAAATCAAAGGAGAAGTATGACAGCGTCCACGCTGGGTCTCATCCTGCTGAGCAGATGCATGGTCAGGGGACAGGAAGGTAAAGAGAGGTTGTGGACCAAAGGAGGCTATAAATGCCCAACTATGGGGATCTGGTGGTGGTGGAGGATGCTAGCAGGAAAGGACATAATCATCACAACCTGGAACAAAGTAGGGCTGGCAAAGGAGGCAGAGACAAGTGTTGAAGCAAAATGGGAGGTGAGAACAGAGACCCAATGAAAGGAAAGAAGCCTCCAAAGGAGCTTGAGCCATTTTCAGTGTTTGAAGTGAGGCCATGTCTTGATGATGTTGTACAAAGCCTGTCCAGGGGACAGCGTGTTGGCCACGTCTCTATGGCCCAGCAGTAGGTAGTTGGGGGTCAGATACCCTTTGATCACAGCACACTGGATCAGGTCCTGGGCTGCCTCTAGTGCAGTAGCATTGGGTAGGTTGCCTGCAAAACACAACCGCCCATTGATCATAGGGCCTCAGCATGCTCAGTCGGACAGGATACACTACTAAACCCTATCCCACCCAGAACCACCACCACGCTATCCCACTGTTGGCAGTTGCACTACAGAAGACAGAAAACCAGTCAAGATTTTAGATGTGTCAGTTCCAAAAATTTTCTGAAGTCCAAAGAATTCAGCCTGAGAAAATAAACACAATTCTTTTGAATATATACAAAGCCATTTGCCATAGCAAATGTTTAATCTTCTAGCTCTCTTGGGGGGAGTTTAGTACACAAGAGGACATTATGCAATGTTTGGAGGTATCTGTGGTTGTCAAAAGTGGGAGATGTGAAGATCCTGTCATTATCTCATTGATGAAAGCTAGGGGTAATACTAAGCATCCTACAAAACACTGGACACCCAACAACAAAGATTTTTATCTGATCTGAAATGTCAATAGCACTGAGGTTAGAAAACCTTATTTTAGTGACAGGTATGCTTCCTGCATTTTACCATAACCAGTTCCAATGTCAGTTGGTCACAGTGCTGAATCACCCCTATATGTGTTCTATACCCATTCCAATATTGGTCTGAACCAACCCCAGTGACAGAGTTTCTCTTTCCATAGATTCAACTAAAAGCTCCTAAGTATAAATAACTTCTTAGCAAGAGCCTTGAGCCTTGACAATCCACAATGTGTACTCTCAATGCACAATCAGGATTCTCTGTACTTTGACATGTAAGGCATAATAGCCCTAACATTGTTCTATGATAACCAAAGAAGGATGCACCTGTTAAGATAATCTAAAAATACTCACAGAGTGTTCCCTGATTTCATATAGTCTTATGTTTCTTAGATATTGGAAAAGAAAGAGACTTACACACTTAATTACATGTCAAATTAGACGTCTCAATATGTGTAGGCATTTAAATGATGGTTTATTTCAATATCTCTACTGTTCACATCAGACACCCCTCCTTCCAAACACCACAAAAAACCACTTCTACCCAATTCATTCAACTCACCTGAGAAGGTGCCCATGAAGACAATGCCCAAGGCAATATCACTGTAGCCAGGGGTGGAGCAGCCTTGAACATTCCAGCCAACCCCTTCATAAACACCACCATCCTGGCCCACAAGGAAACTAGAAAGCACAAGGGGAGATGGAGACTAGCATGAAAGAGGCACTTTGAGTTGCTTTTTTGTCTGTATTCATTAATTCATTCATGCCTTTATCTTTTAGCTATAATCTATTAAAGTATAAATTAATATATTATGTTACCTATAACAGTCTAAATTACAGAGACAAATAAAAAGTCTTTAACACTGATGTGCTAGTAAACCAGTGGGGGAAATGGGGAAGCAAGATGGTAAATGGAAGCCCAACATATAGCACTTGTAGGTTTCTGTGGAAGAAAACTCCCACCATGGCTGACTTTATCTTACCAAGGATTTAACAACTGGATTGCAAAATTCCTGAATCTTTAATAACCAGTGCTCATGATCTAACACATGTCCATCTTTCTCCTAGACATCACTTGCATCCTGCAAGAAGCTCATCACGAGTGAAGAAAGAAGAAAGCTTTCAGTGCCTGCTTTCTCTACCTCACCAATAAAACTATTACTCTCTGAGATGAACTAGAACACCATATTGACACTACTATCTGGCACTGCCTACCAAAGCATTTAATGGCTCCTGGTAGGTGATACATGTTAAAGAGAAACATTCTCTTATTTGAAAAGGTTTATTACTAATATGTCAGAGAGAAAAGATGCAGTCAGCTCAAAAAAAGATAATCAATCAATAGAAAATCTCCACTGCTCACAGCTCTGCAGAAAGATACTTGGTTGGGAGACAATAGGGACTAAAACCCAGCTCCACTGGCTAAATCAGGAGCGGGGCCTCCTTTATTAACATGTAGAAATATACCACATTGGCTAGTGGAGGCCAGTCTTTAGATTTAACATTTAGTTTGATTGTGTCTGATCGGACTGGAGATGGAGTTGAACCCCAGATGTACTTGAAACCTCTGAAAGCATCTGCAATAAATTTGTATTTGTTTTGCGTACCATTTGTTTTTCTATGTGTGTTAGGAAGACACACATAGAAATGGGTGACACACATCCATTAGTTTAGATAGGATGACAAATATCCTTTAGTTTATTGTTGTAGTATTGGGGATCAAATCTAGGGCCTTTACACTGTTTAAAAAAAAACTCCCTTCTTAATTTTTTATTTTGCAACAGGGTCTCACTAGGTCACCATGTTGCCCAAACTGGCTTTGAACTTATAACACTCCTGCCTCAGCCTTCCAGAGTGTTGGGATCACAGCCAGGCCCAGCTAAAATTACTAGTTTCTTAAATTCTTTGATGGAAATATCTTGACCAAAATTCTGTCACAGAAATTTGAAACCCATTTGGATTCCATTTAATGAGGAAAAAAGAAAGAAAACTGTTCCTTTTCCATTAGATCAGTGTGTTATTACAGAATTACAGGCCTTTCTACTACAGAAATCAAAGGATATCATCCTGTCCCTCTCCTTGCTTTCAAACGAGAAATATTCTCCCAAGGAGATTTCCAGTCTGTAGACCCAGAGGCTTGGCACTATAACACAACAAGAAACAAGCTTCTAGGTGTGGCTGCTTTCTCTAATGTCTTTTCAACAGGCTTGGCATCCTTCATGTGAATGTATCTTTAAAGAGGCACAGGTTCTGAGATAGCCCCTTAGCTGCCTCCAACCTGATGCCCAGAGTTAGGTAGAAAATCAACGAGACGGTACCTAGAGGACCTGTCAGATGGTGAGTATTTGATATATGTTAGTTTTCTTTCTCACTGTTTCAGAGGTTCAATTTTTATTCCCACCAAGGGAAAAGAAGACCCTGGCCTTGTGTATACTTACTTGTATCCAATATCACACTTTTTGTGTTTGTCCATGAAGAGGGATTGGAGATCTTGGACCAGGAGACGGCACTCATTAGCTGAACTACAGGTTCTCCCACCCGTGTGGAGGATGATAACATACTTAGCGGGGAGGATCATCTTGCGACAGTGGGTCACCCTGGCCCCCCAAGCTGACCGTGGAACAATGCTGGGGCAAGCTTTGGGAGAAAAGAAACAAGATGTAGAGAATTTGATTTGCTCACCCATGTCAGCCATCTACATGGTTCCTAGGTGATTGAGACATCCCAACCCTATGCCTGCCCTCCGCCTCCAGCCCTGACACTGACTGTGGGTCTTAGGATCAGGATACATCCCGGCAGCAGGATCCAGATTCTTTATTCTAAAAGACTGTCTTTAAGAGTCACTTGGAATCCATAGAACTCTGTCAGTGTAAGGCAATACACGGCATCAGTCCAAAGACAGAATTCAAATTGATTCAGTGCTTTAGGATGATAGAAACAATTGCTTCCAAATTTCATTAAGCCCAAGAAAAGACTTAAAAGTGCCCTTCTCCTCCTCCCTCTCCTTCTTTTTCTTCTTTCTCATACACCACCACCACTACTACAGCTATTACTACTACTGCTAGTGGTACTGGAGATTGAATTCAAGACCTTGCACATGCTAGACAAGCACTTGACCACTGAGCTATATCCCTAGCCCACTTTACTATTTCTGATGTTTTTCCTTATGAACAAATAGTGTTTACCCAGTTATCTAAACTCTGTTAAACTCTTCCTATAAATTCATTATAAGTGGTAACTTAAGTTTTCCTGAGTACTTAAGTCTGTTAGTGCTGTTCTAATTTTTATCCAAAAATATGTGTTAGTGTATAAGCATTTATAAATATGCACGCAAATGTACTGTGGCCCTTTGTAAGTCATTTTTTTTTTGTTCCTAGTACTTTTCACTTGGGCTCACCAAGTATTTTACTTGTTCATGTTGCTGTTGCCTTTCTCTGCTCTCTATAATGAAATGCCACAAGACCAAAGATTTCTTGTGTTTGCTTCCTTTGTATATCTTCAAGGTCTAGCAGGTGCTCAGTAACTTCTTGTGGAATAATGGAATAAACAGAGGCATATATATACCCGGGCACAATGCCAAGGTTCCATCATTCTGAGGTCTGAATGGTAGAAAGGTGGCCTGGAGCATCTCTGTCAAAATTTTTCAGCCTCAAAGTTTCAGAAAGTTAAATGACTGGTAGCCTTCCGGGAAGAATCTAATGAGAATCTGGGGAAGAGGTCACTCTTGGTATTGTCTGAAGGTCAGTGGGTGAGTCTGGAAAGAGCCCGGTGTGGTTGGAGGTCTCACCTTTCTTTAGGATTGTCTTCTGAGGAGGGACCAGGCAGTTTTCACCTTCTACAAAAAGTGGCTGGGTGTACCTGGGTGATAGATGGCCCTTTAGGACAGCATAGGAGATTAGGCCTTTCATGGCTGACAGGGCTGCAGGGCTGGGACTATGGCCTGAAAGACAGTAATTTATGGAAAGTATCAACCTGACCTGGGTTTCCGGGGAGCTGAATGAAGAAAACAAGATGCCCTGTCAGACCCTGCTTAGCTGTTGGAAGAAAAGAAAGGGACGGAACTCATCTCTTAGGTCAGAGACATGAAAGTCAAGGACCACCTAGATGGAGTTCTCGGTGGTTCAGAATGAAGCCTTTTCTTAATAGCTTGCCAAGACCTCATTCAGAGATGGCACTGTGCTGGGCAGCACCCACCTTCTCAGGACAGTGGCTCCTGCCACACATCCCTGCCAGGCACGTACCAGGCTCTTTACTTGCCTTAACTCGTTTAATCCTCACTACAAATCTCTGATGTTGATGCTACTATTAATTCCATTAAGGCCATCTTGAAGCTCTAAAAAGTGACATGCTCAAAATTGCAAGCCATGGCATTATTTATATGTACATTTAACTTAAGTAGAATTTAAAAGAAATCTCTGTTGTGAAAAGTACACCAATTTCCACTGACCCTAAAATCAAAATAAAATCTTGCTCTGCAAAAAAAAAAATTGCAAGTCTATAAATAAAAAGAAATAAATAAGTAAATAAAGAGGTCCAGCACAAAGAGTCTTCTTGCATAGAACATGTTTTAGTTACTTTTCTCACGGCTATGCCACTCTGGGCTACCTACTGCTCAGAGACTCAGGCTGTACACTATAGTAACAGAAATCATGAAACTTGCCTGAACTATCTCAAAAGATATTGGTGAAGAAATCATAAACTAGATTATGATTTTTGGAGAAAGCACATTTAAGATGCAGGTGATGGCGGCTTAGAGCAATAGACTAGAAGAAAGTGGGAGGAAGCCAGAGACTAAAAGTCTCAAAGTGTTTTTTTAAAGGCTTGTAGGAAATCTGGGAGTGAGAGATGGAGAGAGGAGGTTCCTGGCAGGAAATTGGAAGCACAGTCTCTAGCCATAGAAATGTCAGTGCTAGAGAGGAAGTGTGATGGTTACTGATGTAGAGGGCAGAGTTCCACAGTCAAGAATGGGAAGAAGAGACTGGGGAGCAAATCCATGTGTGAGCTGACTAGAGGAAAGGGGCTGCTGCATAGATGGATATGGAAGTCAGAATAATTGGAGGGAGGACCATGATAACTTCATGGAAGCCAAGGGAGAAGAGCATGCCCAGTCAGTAATCTTCAGAGATATATGAAAGGGTAGCAGAGTGTGAAAATGAAACAAAAGAATCTTGGAAGAAGGGTTATCAGGGGTGATTATTACCTTCCTTGGTTCCAAAGAAGGCAGTGCTCAGGGAGATGTTGTATCCCTGCATGTGCAGGCCTTGGATATTCCAGCCGACACCTTCATACACTCTGCCATCATCCCCGACCAGGAAGCTGTACACAGTAAGCAAAGGTAGATTTGGTGGCTGACATGATAGCACACTCCTGAGAGAGAAAATTTCTTACCAAGGCTCATAAAAGAGGTTTCTAGTCATGTAAAAGGAATCTCCATGGATTCTTCGCACACAACAGAAAGACAAAGTCACTTAACATTCAGAAAGACCTATTCCCATATTGTGTATCTTTCTTCCCTGTGCAGACACAAGAGTTGTACATGAATCGTCCTATATGCTCAGAAGAGGAGAGGTGCTGAAACCTGCACAGTAACTAATAAGGACCCAACCACACAATGCTGACTCCACACATCCTGAAATATGGTCCTCCTCCCTTCTCCAAAGTGCATGCTGCCATGAGATCCCCATAGGATTTGAATCTTCTTGTAGGGTAACTGACTCACAGAGATCTTGGACCTACCACAAGGATGTAGATGTAAGTAATGCATCTGGGAAGTAATTCCAGAAGCCAGAATTGAGGGAGCAAGAACAATGAGAGAGGCTAGAGAAACTTGATAAAGTGTGACCACCTGTGATGTTTTTCACATCAGGGTCAGCATTCATACCCTCCATGTCCTTCTAAGGAACTGTGTACAGGAACTATGCACTTTAAAGATGTTCTTTAGAAGGGACTGAGGAGGCTCCCATAAACCCCTAAAACCCAGGTGCTCATTAACTCCTCTTTCCCATCAACCACTCAAGGGAAGGCCTGAAGCAGGAGATCATGGATGGTGTGGCACTTGAAGAAGGAAGCCATTGTCATTTCAGAACTGTCCGCAGATACCCTAAGTCAGATGTAGGTTTCCTGGATGGGTCATTATGGGAACAGGTGGGAGGTTCGCTCCACGAAGAATGAGTCTATACTTGTTGTAAGGTGGAGCACACTGAGTACAGAGATTAGGTTTCATGAGCCCACAGCTATGTAACTTGAGAAAACCAAACAACTTTCTCTACTTTGGGGAAGTGGAAATACTTTTCTATCAAACTGAGGGCTGCTGGGAAGCAAATGTATACAACTACAAGTAAGTCATCTACAACCTGTGATATGCTGGGAAAATCAAGTATTGATGAGAAAAAAGTACAATTACTACTTGACCTTCTTTCTTCCTTTGGGAGACTGCAGTGGCAAGAACTTCCCGAAAATTTCAAACAATTTAGGATTTCATGAGAGTCTTAAATATTTTATTCATTATAGAACCTACATAACCACAATCTAGAAGGTGAAAGCAGATGAGAAGGGACAGGAGGGCAGCTTTGGTCACATGCCTGGAGGCCCAGGCCCAGCTTCTTACTTGTAGGCCACATCACACCTGCTGTTGTTATGGACATGGTAGGACTGCAGTTCCCGAAGCCTCCGACTGCAGGTAGTCTGGTCTTGGCATTCCAGTCCAGGGATGTGGTGTGTGACAAGTACATCCACTGATGTAGTCATCTGAGACCTGCAGGCAGGAGCTGCTGCTTCCCACTCCTTGTGAGAGACTATTGTAAAGACACCTGTGGGAAGGGGCATGGATGTCACTTGGTGCATTCTGTCCCTGGAGTCCACATTAGCTTCCTGGGTTGCACTTGCTGGTTGGGACCACATCAGCCCCACAGTGGTAAAAAAGCCCTAGAAAGAGGCCCTCAGGAGGTAGGTACTCTCTCCTGTTCACCGCCATACTGTTATCTCACTGAGTCTGCACCCACCAAAGAACCAATATGGTCCCCATTCCAACATGTCCCTCAAAACAGACAGAGCCCATCTCCCAGCTTCTTTCCTGGGCTACCCTGAGCCCCTGCTTCAAGGAACATCTCCATATTATCCCCTGGAGAAAGTTCTCAGTGGCCTCACACTGTCACCTCAGCAGTTATGGACCCTCAGTATTCCCTTGAGTGTGGGGCTGCATCTTTTGTTACCCCAGGGCTCCCTCCAGATGCTGATTTTGTCTCCCTCTGTCTCTGCACTCCCTGAGGACAGGGTTTGTGGCTCCATCTACTGCAGAGGCTATTTCTTCCCTTTCTGGATTTCATTCCTTCCTGGTTCTGTACCTATATCCCAAGGACCTAAGATAATCTGCACAAGTAGATGGCCAGAGCTCCCCTCTACAACTCACATCTGTTCACCCATTCCAGTCACATGTATCTGTATAGATCTGGGAAACCTTTCTGGCCACATGAGAAACCTCAAGCGGCCTCACCATCAAGACCCAGTTTATCTTTTTCAGTGAGCTGGGAGATGTTTCCAAACAGGTACTGCAGCCCCTCTGACACTAGTTTCACTTGTGTTTTGTTTCATGAGAAAACACCTGCAAAATAATATTCCATTTTGCATCAGTCTTCAGAAACTTCCAGTACCAAGTATGTCAGTGGCATGGGCTCTAGCCCTGAAACAGCTGACCCTTCCGCCTTCTCCATGGCCCCAACCCCTCTCTATGAAACTAGAGTCCACAGCAGTTGGCATGACTTTCTAGAGCACCAGCCTTTGGCAGGGCCCCCTCCGCACCAGGTGCTGGTAATGCCTCAGGATGAGAGTTAATAGTTAAGCACAAGAAGTGAGTATATTAACCTAGTCTCCTGAGAGATATCTATACACACAATTAACAAAAAATCCCAACCTGGTATTGTAGTCAGGAACCTCAAAACCACAAAATGCTTCTTGGTGTGAATTTTACACAATGACAGCAAAGAGGATGAGTAAGTGGAAAAGCAGGAAGGATTATTTGCATAAATCAGGCCTGTTCCCAGTTATTTGGGAGCATCTGCTAAAACCATGTTCCCATACAAAGGACTATGGGTGTGGGCACAGGCATCAGTCAACATCCCCAGCCCCAGCAAATGACACTCTTAACCACAGAAAATTTTCTTTTACTGACAAGCATATGTCTGTGTTTGGTTAGACTCTAAAGGACACACCAAAAATAATTGTTGCCAAGCACTAAGTCCTCTTTGTACATTATGTTATTTAAACCTTATAATAAGATTAGGAGACCTGTTACCATAACCTTAATTTGCAGGTAGGAAGTCTAAGATTTAAACAGTTGCATAACTTATTAAAAATCATTACTAGATCTAGAGACTCCAGAATCTATGCTCTAAATATAAAGTAAAAGGGAAACAATTAAACAGTTGCTATTATGAGACTTTAGGATGACTCTTCTTAGTCTTTAGTCCAGAGAAAGAAAACTCACCAAGGACTTGGACACTCAGAGCAGGGAAGACAAGACACCAGAGTAGCATCCTCATGCGGTTCTGGGACGGCAAACCAGGGTAGTGTGGTCAGCAATCCTGGGAGGACAGTGTCCCTGGAGAGACACTGACAGGTAACATGACCGTGTTCACTCTGCCACCAGAGCACCGCCCAGACTACATGGTTCTGCAGTTTTCCTCCTGTGCCACACTGTAGGCCTCCTGAGAACCAGTGCCCTACTCAGATTTCTCAGAGCACTCTGCATATCACAGATGAAAAACATCCTGTCCTAGTACTCTGCCAGTTCAATTTCATTGAGTGTTTACTGTGTGCACTGGAGCACGCAACTCAATTTAATAACTCCTATCTCTATAAGACACAAGAAATTCAAACTCTCTGGGAGGAGTCTACAACAGAGAATTCCCTCGCAGTGGGAGATGGAACCAGATTGTGAGGTAGACAGGACTGAGAGGGCTCTGAAGAAGAAACACTCAGGTTCACACTCAGAAATATCTGTGGACCTTGTTCTGTCCCCGCCCAGGATCCTCAAGACAAATGTCTGTCCTAAACAAGGGCCTCAGGAGGGAGGGTGAGTGGTTTGGTTGGTCCCTTTCGGGAGGTTGAGGTTCCACTACAGCCCAACTTTTTCTGAGATACCTCTGTGACTAGAAGGGATGGGATAATTGAGGGGAAAGTAGATCTCAGTTCTAGTACAGAGAAAATCTGATTTTAACATTCATCTCGTAGAGTCCATCCTCTTCTAGAAGAGGGTTTCAAAGAATAAACACACTCAGAAATACCTGTGGACCCTGTGCTGTTCCAGCCCAGTAGGTCAGGATGCAGTCCACCTGCCTGTCGTTGAGTGCAGCTTTTCTCTTCAGACTTGGCTTTCAGGTTCTGCCCGTCCTCCAGCTGGTTTCTCCTCCTTTCTTCCTCCTCCTCCTCTTTCTCCTCCTCCTTTGTCTTCCTTTTCTAACCCTTACTGTCCCTCACACTAAGGGGGAACTCTCTTCTTGGGAAGAGAGCATTTGAGCTCTGGCTTCTCAGAGAAAGAAAGAAAGCCCTGTGTACCTTACAGAAGATAGAGGGCAGCCATCTAGGGCTGAGAGCTGACTATGTCCATAGCATTAAGTGGAGCTCAGGTGAGACCAGACTTGAGCTGAGAGCACCTGGGAACCTGCCTTGTGAATAAAGCCCAGGTGCCTCCTCCCTGAGAAAGGGCCTGATTACCCAACTCTCCAGGGGTGACTTCCTTATTTCTAGCCATCAATAAGCCCCCACAGGCATCTCTGTGGGGCTAGGAAACTGTGTCCCTGTCATCTGAGAACTTTCTGCACATCCAAGCAGATCTGCTCCAGGTATCTAAAGGTTGTAGATTTATCTTATTCACTAGTTACCCTCCAATGCCCCGTCATACACACACACAGGAGTCCACAGGGGTCTAGGGCAAGTGGAAGAGATATGTTCCCTGGAGGCACTCCCATTTGTGACCCTGTAGGCTACTCATCCATCATCCCACCCCCTGCCATAACCCAACTTTGTCATTAAAGGTCTCTTACTGAAGAAATCTCCACAAAATGAGTACCTCCAGCCTCTCTCCCACTCTAGGTTTGATAGTATTGTGAGGTAGACAGGACTGAGAGGGCTCTGAAGAAGAAACACTCATGTTCACACTTTGAAATACCTGTGGACCTTGTTCTGTCCTGGCCAGGATCCTCTGGCAAGCCCTGGCCAGATTTTATGGTCTTTCTTTCTTTCTTTCTTTCTTTCTTTCTTTTTTTTTTTTTTTTTTTTTTTTTTTTGAGCCAAAGTCTCACTCTGCAGTTCAGGCTGCTCTTGAGCTCACTTTGTACCCCAGACTAGTCTGAAACTGGGACAATCCTGCTGTCTCAGCCTTTTGAGTGCTGGGATTAGAGGCATGTCCCACCATACCCAACATTTTTTGCCTCCTAGGGTAGCAAGAATAAGACCCACATGACACTTTCTAAGAATGCACATCTCCCAAGTAACTTTCAGACCTGTCATCTTTAGAGGGCAAGGCAGCCTTGGATACCCTGAAAATGTCCCATACCCAGAAACGCTACCCTTCCTAAGTCACAGTCTCACCCTCAGGCCAGAGATTCCCAGAAGAGCGCCCTTAAAGGTACCCTTAAGTGAGCACAGGGCTCATCCACTATTTCTCTAGTCCTAAGCCCAGGCCCAGGCTAGAGCCCTATGCGATAGCAGGGACTGCTGACCTCTGCCCAGTCCAGAATGGAGATTGAGCAGAGCTGGCAACAGAGATGAAGGAGCCCAGGACTAGTACTGAAAGAGTCTGAAGGCTTCTGACCCTCAGGAACACATTGTTTCTCCATGCCTCGCTGTCTGTACTTCCCAACCTGCAGGAAGCCCTTAAGTAAGTCCTGTGAGACATCCAGAGAATTGCAGACATTCAGTTTCCTTCCACAAGAGGGAGTTGAAGACTGAAGGCCAAAAGAGAGACAGGGAGTGGCTGCTACTAGGTCCAGCAAATGCTGTCCTTTCTAGACATCAACAAATTTCTGGGGACTTACAGACCCCATGAGACAAACGTTGATCCTACAAAAAGGCATCAGAGAGAGACACAGAGTGGTTTTGTTTGTTCCTCTCTAGTTCTGTGATCTTAGAACTAAAGTCCTAAGAGGCTCTCCTAAGTTCTGAACAACCTGATTCATGTCACCTACCTCTTTCCCTGGCCCCATCTCAGTCTTGCCTCTCTACCAGAGTGGGTTCCCATGGCTGTCTGTCCTCTGCTGCCTCAGTGAACCCTTCCTATCTGCTCCCACTCCTTCCTCACCTGGGAGCTGAGAGAGGGGACTCTGTTTTACCCTGATTTTTTCCAAGAAGCTTCTGTGATGAGTAGGGACTGCTGGGCATCATAGTCACTATTTCACAGTAGCCATTTTAAATTGTAAATCTCAAGCCTGGTTCTCTCAAAGAAAAGCACTTATATGATTGATTTGTTAGCTGAACCAACCATTATTTCCACAGAAGGCCACCTTTACTTGAAAGAACAGGAAATGGTCAAACTATGAATACTCATACTTATGTATATACCAGGAATTCTTTTTAAAAATTAACAAAGTAAGCTTTGGTTTCAAGGAAAATAACTAATGGAATTATAAGCTTAATAAAATTAGAGCTTTGAAGCAAAAATTAGAATTCAGAAATTTATATCTGCTACCATCATTTTACAGCTTACTTAAAGGCTTTACTGATAAGATCAACAGTGATATTAACAAAGTGACGTAGGCATATATACACACATGTAAGTACATATATGTAAACTTATATACATATGAACATATACATACATTGGATAATAAAGCTGGTCAGCATTTAGAAGGTGTTCATCAGTCAGTGAGCCAGTATTTTCAAAATGACTAATGCATTAAATCACAAAATCATACTTAGATAAAAGATCAGTTAAAATTTCAAGATAGCCCAGTTGATTTCTAACGAAGCAAAAAATTTATCTATGTTGTCTAAGATTCTATATTACAAAAATTATTCAGGACAGTTGTTGAGTTTTGCTGCAAGATCAAAGAAGGATATCTCCAATTATTTGTAAAAGCTGGTCATGTATTTCTGCCCATTGCAATTACTTATCTAGGAAAAGCTGTGTTCACTCACAACAACATGTAGCAACAAACTGAATGCAGAAATAAATGTGGAAATACAGCTATGTTCTTCTATGAAAACAGGTGCAAAAAAATTTTTTAAATGACAATTCTTTTTTTTTTTTTTTGCCTTTTTATCAGTACCAGGGATCGAACTCACGACTGCTTGCTTGCAAGGCAGGCGCTTATGTGCTGAGCTAAATCCCCAGCCCTAAATGACAATTCTTGGGAGACTGAAACAGAAGAGTTGTGTGTTTAAGCCTAGTCTGGACAATATCAAAATAAAAATTTAAAAATGACTAAGGTTAGTTAAGGATAAAGGCTTTGGGTTTGATCTTCAGTACCACCCCCTCCAAAAGACATTATTCTCACTAACTATATATATATATATATATATATATATATATATGTGTGTGTGTGTGTGTGTGTGTGTGTGTGTGTTTGCACGCGCATGTGTATAGTAATTAATAAACGTGGTTGATATGTTTTGGGTTCATCAATGCTACTTTAAATGAGTTCGTAAATATTTAAATTATTTAAAACTCCAATATGGTAAGTATTGAGAGATATAACCCCAAGAAGGTTTCGGTTATACTCGGTAATTTTTTGAAGTACAAAGGGTCTGGGGCCAAGGGAAAGCCACAGGCTGTCCTGACGCAGGTAGGTCACCAGGGGGCAGCATGCGCTCTTTGATGACTTTGGAGCCGCTTCCATATCTGCATTTTCTCTTTGCATCACTTTTCTCCATTTCCTTTCTGACTCTGTGTTCTTCTACGCTGCACAGCTTCTAAATTACAGGAAATAATCTTTGGAGAATAAACTCTACCCAACCAAAGCTGGCATTCATCTTATCCTACGGAAGCTTATCAGATGACCCACAGGCAGTTTATCATCCAGGGATGGCAAAGCAGCGTAGGAAGCCGCTCTCCAGGAGTCCTGATCTAAGGAGGCAGCCAGTGATTGTGGGTCTAGTATGCGATGTTTGTGAAACCCTTTATTTTCTGCAAAGGAGAGTAGACTTCAAGGGGATTACTGAGAGGCAGAGGAAGCCAAGGAGCAATGCTGATAACCTTCGGGACTTGTGGAGGAATCTAGAACTTCAGTGTATATGGGGAGGGACACCGAAGAGAAGGGAGGACTGAAGAGAAAAGTATTCAGAGGACACATGAGGAAACACCAGTTTTTCTTTTTGGAATTTCCCAGAAATTCGGAAGATTTCTGAGTGAGGGTAGCTGTGTTAGAGTTAGGGCTGGTATTCACACCTGGGAAAGTTTCAAGGTAGGGTCCATGAAGCTCTGTTACTGTGAGCCTCAATGTAGGTGCTGGAGCTGCCCAAGATGTAGGGACAGGGGAGGGACTGTCCCATCAGAGACCTAGGACGGTCAGGCAGTGGAAGCTTGGTGTGGACAGAACCCAAGATGGTGAGACAATAGTCTGAAGATGATCCCACTGAGCTATCCTTGAAAACCTGCAGGAGTCAAGGAGGGGGTGGAAATGGATCACAAAATTCACATCCATAGAGCTCTTAGCAAGAGGAGGGGAGGAAGTGGAGCATGAAGCAAGTTGTGTGTGACCTGGGAGCTGCTAAACCCCAGATAACAGCCGTAAGGAGTAGAATCTGACTTCCACTGCTGGGGAAACAGGAGGGAAACCAGGAGTCACACAAGGCCTACAAAGATGCCATCCAAGTCTGGAGTCAATGATGAGAATGACTCAAAGTCCACCTAGCCCAACTTTCTCAACTAACAGATGAGAAAATTGAGGCCCTAACATGAAAGAGACAACCAGTGGTCTCCAGGAAGCCTGGCAATCTAGCTCTAAGTCAGTCCCTTTTTTAAACAAACTCCCATAGCTCCAAGGATGTAGAGCTAGGGAAAGTCCCCACTGTGTGGTATCCAATACAATGGAGAAGGGCCTAGTACACTGGAAGGCCACAGCAGCAGGGCAACAAGAAAGGAAAGGCACAGACCACTCCTGTAGCTAGGCCTGGGGAAGTAGCCAATGATTTGGTGGGAGTTTCAGGATCCTCTGCTCACCTTATTTATTTGCACACTTTGAACTCAGCTCCCTATTCTCCCAGTGACCACAACCAGAGTCACTGTCTAGAGCCAGGAAAACGTGGTTCGCTTTGTATCTCAGCAGGAGGCTCTGGGTATATCTGATAAGTCAGCATCCTGAGAAGACCCACGCCCCACCACTCTGCAGTCCTACCTGTGACAGTGAGGAAGTTAGTGGGATTTGGAGCACCTACTGATCAAGCCAAAGATAGACTGCTCAATCTGGGAGGCTCAGCCCCGGCCTCACTTGGGCCTGCGCTAGCCTAGGATCAAGGCCCTCCACAGCTTTCTGAGAGAAAGCCCACTGTCAACATGGGATCTCCCATGTGAAAAGACTTACCTGCTTCGAACCCCGTTTTAGAATCATTTGTCTTCCTTATCCCACTATTTTACTTTCATCTTGAACCAACACTATATGAGCCCAGTTGCAGAGTGTTGCAAAACAAAAGGCAACAGATCAGTGTTTATTTCTCACTCACTGCCAGCACTTCCTCATTCAGAAACTTTAATCTGACGTCCACTGATTCAGGCCTTTGTTCAATCCCAGGACCCAAGGGCTGAGTGGTCAGTGATCCTGCCTGGAGGAAACAGAGTCACATAGCACAGCAGAAGTCACCCACCATCTCCTGCAATTTTACTTTGCCATACACTTAACTTGATTGTTAACACCTTTGCTTTTCTTTAAAATTTATTTGGAGCACCATATAAAAATCCAGTTCCCCAGACCTTTAGGAGACCCCACAACATGTGATTCACATGGCAGCTCTCACCCAAGGCAGAATGCTGCTGGCTTTTGAGTTCAGATGGTCCAATTTGCTACAGGCTCCACCTCTCCCTAGTATCACCAACCCAGAGAACCAGTGTCAGCTGTCAGGGTAGTTCTTTTGTTAGACAGGGTCCAAAGAGATCCATCAAACAGGAAATGGAGACTTCAACTCACCCTACTCACAGGGTACTTTGAAGGTTCACTGATGTGTAAAGAACAAGTTGGAGATTAATGAGAGGCATAAATCTGTTAGATAGAAAGAAGTATATACTCAGTAGGGAGCATGAATATTTTTAGTGCAAGGCCTATTTTGGCCTGGGACTGGGAGAATTGTGTGTTTTGGGAATGTCCTCAAATAAGTGATCTCGGATGTATTTTCCTGGTATCTCTCGGGTTACTCATTAGTGGGCTAGGTTAAGATGCAAACTGTATGTTTGAATTTCCGTGATGTGGAACCCACTAAACAAGGCTCTGGCCTTATTTAGGTGTATGGGAGGAAAAGCTTAGGCTTAATTTATAAGTACAAGGCATGGCCCCCATTTATAAGCTGGGTGTATTTTTAACACCTGGAAGGACTTTTTAGAGTGAAGCTCCTGGTAGAGAAAAGGGCCTTGCAACCTTGGCTAATTTTGATTCTGCACTGAAGCTCCAGTTTTATTAAAAGTAAAATTTTAAAATTATGGTTTTCCTTGTCCTCTTTCTAACTTTCTTTCTTCTATCTTAGTCCTATCGGTACTTTTGATGTTCTGAGGTCCAGGTCATCTTCAGGTACCTGGGGGAGATCCTCCGTACAGATGGAAGTTTTTCAACCTTGCCAGCAGAGAGCGCTATGGGCGCGTACAGGAAACATCTTTGGCACAACTTGTAAAGGCCTAACACTGCAGGTTTCTCACTGGCATGAGGAAGCACGCAGCTTCTGTGCTGGCTGTCGTCTGTGCTTCCTCCTCTGCTAAAACAGTTCGGGGGCAGCCTCTATTAAGGAATGAACCTGAAGTTTCCCTTCACATATTCCTTGACTGTGTCTGTAACGTTCATCCATTCATCCTAGTGTGCACTTTGCAAGTATTTGTTAAATACTTGCCATGTGCTTTGCACTGTACCAGACCCTGTCTGTGGCTACCAAGAGTTTAAAAATGTATTTATCAAGACAGGCTATATAAGATTATGTGTCCCCTGTATGTTGTGACGCATTCACCAAATTCCCCCAGTAGCTAGCATTATTATCTGGTGCACAGAAGTACCAATACTCTTTGCACAAATGAATGAAAAGATAGCTAATAATAATGCTTCTTCTTCTTATTTTTTTATACTGGGGATCAAACTCATGACCTTTCACTTGCCAGGCAGGTGCTTACACCACTGAGCTAAATCTCAGCCCAATAATGCTTCTTATCCCCTGAAATTTTCCTAACTTTCCAAGTATTTTTACAGTTCTCCAGGTCAGTCCTATCTATTTACTGGTAAAGAAATCAAGAAAAAGTTAAGTCAACTGGCTAAGGTCAGTCTAAACTCATAACCTCTCTTGTGTGTAGCATCTGAGCAGGGCAAGGCAGTGGCCAGGGACAAGGATTAGCATCCATAGGGCTTACGTAGGGTAGGGTGGGAACTGGCCAGTGAGAAAAGGCCACATGAAGATTAGACAAAAGAGCTTGCTGAGGTAAAACAGGAAAAATGTCTTGCCTGGTATAAGAGAGGAGCTGGAATGACCAGAAAACAGGGAAATGCCCTAAGTAGACCCTTCATACATACTTCCTGCATCAAGGCAAGGATACCCGTAAGGAAACACGATGATTCAACATATGCAATGGTGCCCAGCCCTCGATATGTGCATAGGTGGAGATGAACATTAAGAAAAACCTGTCTCCAGGGATCTACAACCAGTTATTAGTCAGAAGAAAAATAATGAAACCACTTTATTCCAGGAAATCAGATGTTATGAGCTAAAAGTGGGGTGCAGGAAATTGTCATGGAAAAAAAGATTGTCTCCCCCCAAAAAACCAGAGCAGCTTTCTGGATGAGGCAGCATTTGAACTATACTATGAGGGATGGGTAGGACTTTACCCTGTAAAATTGTCAACCGGGAACCAGGAGATCTGAGTCCCATTCCTGCTATGTCACCAGCCCGCTCTATAATCTTGCTCATGTTCTTCTCTAGGCATCAGAGTCTTCTTCTACAATGCAAAAATGTGGGTCACCTGAGAGTCTTTCTAATCCTGACTCCCACCCCTGCAATCTAGTAACCCATGTACCCGCTGGCCCTCCTGAAAGCACTATCACAGAATCAGACACACCCAGGGGCAGGCGCAGCCCATCTGTAGACTGCAGAGTACAGATTGCACTCAAAGGGAAAGAAGAACGGGTCCTCAGCCAGTTTCTGGCCCTCACAGGTATATGAGAGGGGATATGTGAGGGGAGCAGAGGAGCTGCAGGCCTGTCTACTTGCTCAGGACAAGCAGGGGTGTGTTGGAGGGCAAGTGAATTAACCAACCAGCTTCCTCTCAAACCAGTTCAGGCCCAGGCCTGAGAGTTTCACAAAACAAGGAAAAGAGCTATGTTATGTGAACATTTCCTGCCCTGCTTTACCCGCCTCCCTGGCAAGGTTGCCACATGGCTCTCCTGTGAGGCAATCTTCCCCCGAGAAGGCCATATGTTCCTGCCAAAGGCTGCCTATAAATGCTGGGGCAGCCCAGGTGTGTCAGGTGCAGTGTCTCCTTCGCTCTGGTGAGTGAGCTTCCCACTTTCCCAGGCAGGAACCTGCTGCCAGGTCTTTCTTTTCTGCTCCAAACTTTCTTCCAAATCCTCCTACTAGAATACCCCTTTGGCTGATCCTGTTCATGTCATAGCTTCCTTCACACATTCTTAGAGCTTTTCCTGCCCTCAACTGCTTTGATTTTTTTTTAACATTCTCTGTCAAAATTCATTTCTCACATGTGCATGAGAAACTGTTTCCCTGAGTAAGAGGCATCCTATGCTTCTTGTTTAATTTTATATCTCCTCTTCTTCCTGCCTGTGGCTGGAGGACCTTTCAAGGAAGCATGGTGGCCTTTTCTTCTAAGCACCCATACCTTTGTTTCTTTCTTATTTATACAGAGTGCAAGAAGATGGCAGCCAATAAGTCGCAGCTGGAACGCAGCTTAGAAACCATTATCAACACTTTTCACAAGTACTCTAGGCTGTCCGGACACCCAGACACCTTAAACAAGAACGAATTCAAAAAACTCACGGAAACGGAGCTGGCAAACTTCCTCAAGGTAGGGCTTGACTAAGGTGAGATGAAACATGGGGCAGTCTACAGCAGACAAGAGAATTCTAGTTCCTTCCATCCAGAGGCATCTGGGGTATGTGTCAGGCCCTGTTTGGCATACAGGAGGGGAGTGAACAGGGAACCTGATATCCTGAATTAGGCAAGATAAAATACAGTTAATCCAACGTCAGTAAGTGCCCTAGGGGAAAAAGAAGATTCCTGGGCCAGGTGGGGCAGAGATGACTCTGGATAGTGGAAAGGCCTCCTGGAGAGTGGACATTTGAGTTCAGCCCTGTGGAGGACATTGGCAGGAGGTTGAAGGATTCTAAGCCTTAGTAGGGAACATGTGGTAGGGCTTTTCTCATCCTTAGGGTCTCCAGAGGAAAACAGAGAAATGAAGAAGAAGTAGAAAGCACCCAGCACAGCCTGGAATGTACAAAGGATGTAGCAAAACATTAGTGTTGTCCTCCAATCTGAAAATGACTAGGCAGTTCTAGGGCAGTGGGAGATCCCTCCCAAGTCTTTTCAGGTTCGAGGAAGCAGAGGTCTAGACTAAGAAGGAAGGGACACATGGGTGTCAATTCCATTCCTGGGTCCAGCTGACCTGGGACAAGTCCCTAGCCCTTTCTTCCCTTTCCTTGGTAAGATGGAGAACTGTCCTATGGGAGGTGTTAGGGAGATTAACAGCTTCCCACAAGTGGTGGTCTCAGGCATGAAGCCTTCAGGGTCAGGATAGAGAAGGTGCAGCTAGAAGACCATGTGGGAAAGGTTTCACTCTGTGAAGTCCCCATGTGCTCAAATTTCCCCTCCCTGACATCCCTGCCACATTTGGACGGGCCACTTAGGCTCTGGAACTGGGCATAGCTGAGGTGACACAGCCAGTAGGCAGCAGAGCTGTGGCCACCTGGTGCTCTCTTTGCCCCATCTAAATCCTCCCCACCTGACATCTTCCTTCAAATACTTTGGGGGCAGCAAGCATTTATTTTGCTCTCTCCCCTCACTCAAGATATTGCATTGTCTGGTTCTCCTAGGTCCTTCTCTACTATATAGGTAAGAATGAACTTTACCAATCCTCCAATGGAGAGGAGCAGGGAGTAACTGAGAAGAGAGGAGGGAATGGGGCAGGACTGCACTCTAAGTCAGATCTGCTTCCTAGCCTCCTCAGCTTGCAAAAACCACCAATCCTAAAATGTGGTTTCCTCAAAGAAGATACCACTTCTGCTTGTTAAGTTATTATGAGGACTAGATATGAGGACATTTCAGACTTACTAATTGTAGGACCTTCTCCATAAAATGAAGAGGCTCACCCTACCTGAGTTGTAGGAGTGTCTGGGGAATAAGCTGGCACATGATTAGCATGGATTTTGGCTCCATCCTGGGTACTCAGGTCACTTTTAAATTTTAAATTTTGAATTTTTAAATGGATCTACAGGGCCCAGGCTTCCCTGTGCATTTGCCATCCGGACATAGATTGTGCTCCCTAATCTCTATCCCTGGCCACATCCAAGCCTAATCGCTGTATTTTCTCCACCCACAGTGTGAGAATAGAAAAGAAGATGAAATAAATGACATCATGCAGGACCTGGACACAAACCAGGACCAGCAGTTGAGCTTTGAGGAGGTCATCATGCTGTTTGCCAGGCTGATCAATGCCTCCCATGAGAAGATGCATGAGGAGGGACACCACCGTGCTCCGGACCACAGCCATGGGCCAGGCCTTGGAGAGGGTGTGAAAGGCCATTGCCATTAATTAGGAGGCCAGGCCACTCTGCACCTGCCCAACCATGTTCATAGAAAATATGTGCTATATCATCTTGAATGTGGGGCTGGGCGTGGGGGAAATAAAGTCTTTCTGTATGCCAATGTTCTGTATGTTTTGTCTGTCTTCTTGCCAGTCAGGATTCCAGCCCTACACAGTCCTACCCTTGTCTGTAGCTCAACCCCTGAACTTGATCATAACAAAATGAGAGCCAACAACATGTGGGTCTGTTCTGAGCCCCTTGGGCCCACCTCCATGGCCATATATTTTCTGACATCAGATCCCACTGTTTAGATGCCAGTCATGCTGCATAGCATTTCAACATGGCCTTTGACACTGAAGAAAACAAAGTGGGTTGTCTGTGCCCCTCAGTATGCTGACTGGCCACCTCCCCACTCAAACCCAGTCATCACTGATTGTGTCTCTCCTAATAGAACCCTATTCCTGTGGAGGTCTTCCAGCAATGGACCCAAGCAGTGCCATGTCTGAGGAGGAAAAGTGGAGTGAGGCAGTAGAAAAAAGGATGAATTGGGTGTAACTGCCTACAAACTCATTTCTGGACTCAAGAGAGCAGTTTGGTTTCTTAAAAAGCCTAGCATTTTAAAAATACAAACTGGTGGCATATAGGAGTTTCCTCACTGGTAAAAGTGGGAGTTACCCAGGAGTTACCTCATTCCCAACTCAGGAGGAGGACAGAGAGTCCAACAGAACTGAGCTCCAACCCAGCTTCTGCAGATAGAAAACTCTGTGAAGAGTGTGAGGAGCTTGGATGTTGGGTCAGAGATCCCCTTGGCCACTTAAGATTCAGATTGGGGCCAGCTGATCTCTGGGCTGGTGGAGATCCTTCCAGTCCCTGATCAGTAGCTAAGGACTCAGCCTTTGGGGGGCATTTCCTCCTCTCTGCAAAACCTGTAGCCAGATGGACCTGGCTCTAGCTCCTTTAGGCCTGCTGTCACATCACATGGCTTCCTGATCCACGTGCTTACCTCAGATACTGCCAAGTGACTCCTTGTTTATCCACCTTCCCTCATCCACAAAGCCCCTCAGATGACAATGGTTTCACAACACACATATCTCATCCTTTTGTTACAGGCAGCTGAGCTAGTTAGAAATATTATAGGCAGTCAGACAGGGCTAGGCCCTCAAGGGAGCTGGTATAGAGGACCAGATGTCTGATGACCTTGGAGGAGACACACATCTGTTGCTGTAGGTCATATCTCGGGACAGAAGGCAAAACAAATGCAACCACACTCTTAAGTATAATCCTTAGGGATTAAGTCTGAATCACCATGAGAAGTTAGGAGTCACCATTCCAACCCCTAGGGGAGAGTCACTGCTCTCTAAGAATGCTGGCTTTCTACATGACTCACTTCTGAATTTGTTCCCAATTTAATCAATTTTACCTGAGCTATTAATCTTATTTGCTAACCAGAGCGAGTTCCAAGTTTTTCCCAATTTTAGACCTGCCTCACCTCATGGTTTTACTCTATAAAAATCCCTACAAAAGACAGAATCACTGGCAACCCACTTGGGACCCCTTCTGTCTCTCTCTCAGATAGAAACTTTCTTTCTCTCAATAAATATTTCTGCTCTTCCATTGTTTCTAAAATTCATCCTTCAACTTTAGAGAACACGAACTTGTTCTGGAAATATAGTAGGTTGGGAGTTTCAATCCCCTATATTACTTTCAACAGAGAAGAATCAAAGAATTAGGGCTTTAAGGAGTTGGAGAAAGATGTAGTCATCTATTCTGTTTTTAAAAATGAAGACATAGATGCACAGAGCAGAGAACAGATTAGTCCAAGGTTGTACAATGGTAAATGTGATCAACATATGGTAATGAGAAAGGGAGCTTGGATTCCGTCTGTTCCACTGGTGGCTCTCACAGCTCCTTCCAGAGCTGAAGCTAAAGAAATATTCACCAGGGTCAGATTGCAATTGCTCCTTGGTCTGGGGCCCTACATGCCTGTTGCAACCCCTGCTCTAGAAAGCCTCAGGGCCCCACTGTGCATGAGGATGAAAGGGTCCACGAACTGTTCCAGGCTGTGTGCCAGAGGAAAAGGGTTTAGAATCCTTCACCACATTCTCGGTGCCTATTTTGAAGGAATGACAACTGGCAGCTCTCATATGAAAGTCTTCTGAATATTCACATCCTGGTGATATAGAGAAGTGAAATTCCCAAACTACTAGATGGGCAGTACAAGTTTTTTTCCCTCTAAAATTGAAAAATGAATTTTAGGAACAATGGAAGTCAAGAGCATAATATATTTACTGAGAAAAAGAAGGCTTCTGTCTGGGAGAGAGATAGAAGGTGTTCCTAGTGGGTTGCCAAAGACTCTGTCTTTTCTAGGGCCTTTTATATAGTAAAACCATGAGGTGAGATGGGTGCAAGATGGGGAAAACATGGGAACTCACAAAGAGGGCATAAGGTGGGACAGAACTGTCGTCAAACAATAAGATTAATTGCTCAGGTAAAATTAATTAAATCAGGAACAAATAGGGAAGCAAGTCAAGTAGCAACTGTGCAAACTAAGTGTGCATCTGGGAGATTGTTCTAGAACCCATGGTAAGTTCTGATAACAAGTCATTTTTACAATTCCCCATGGAGTTTTCTTTAAACATAGTTCAATAGAGCTATCAAGTTGCCTTAACCCCTTCATTGACATTAGCTCCTTCAGTTCAAGCAAACAAACTTCTCTTTTTTGTTGAGTAAAGGGAAGATGGCATCATTCCCTATATAGACAGCCTAAATAGGTTGCAGATCCCAGTGCTATGAGATGGCTCTAAAATTTGGGAAGAAATGTAGTTCCTTGTCCTTTTGTTGAATAAAGGGGAGATGGCATCTTCCCCTATGTAGAGAGCAAAAGTGGCAATTTCAGGATAAAGATTCCCACTTTACATCTGAACTTCAGGCTACCCCTGTGATTAATGAGTTCTTCTCGAAAGTACAAACTCTGGGCAGTTCTCTGGGATTACAGTGACTGTGACACCACAGACAACCTGTCTGTCATGAGATGACTGTCCTCTAGTTTTTACATGGGGAGTTACCCTCCAGCGGGGAGTTACCCTCCAGCAGGGAATTAACCACTGCAGCTGAACTTCCTGCTGTCTTTCTGGGAAGAATGAGGAAGGACTAATGGTTTCCCGAGCTGTTGAGCTCTGTCCAAACATGTAACAGTGCTCTGAATTTGCTTGCGGTCCTGAGTGGTATGAAATGGTTCTAAACTTGAGGAGAAATGGAATTTTCCATTTCTTTGCTTTCCCACTCATTTGCCCAGCAGATATTAACAGGACACTTGCTGCATGTGAGGCAGACCATAATGCTGCCTAGGGCTGCTATTTTAAACAAGACATAATTCTATTTTCAGGAGTGTACAATCTTGCAGTGGGGAAGAGATAGCTCCTCAATTTAGACAGCTCCTCATTTTCTAAAAAAAGAAAATGAAAGGCCAGGGAAGTGTGCAGAAAGCTGGGCCTTTGAAGTAGATGGTCTCCCTGGAGGGACGAGGTAGGGTAGTGCTGAGACTGGTAGCTGCAGACATCCCAGATAGACATGAAAGTGATTCAGAGAAAGGAGCCATGTGTGCAAAGGTCCAGGGTGGTTTATATGGAATAGAGCACAAGTGAGGAGACTCGGGAGTTAGGAGGAGAGAGGAGAGCTACAGAGAACAGGATAATGCTAAGGCAAAGAGCTCACCTCTCATTCAGTGGATGTAAAGGCAAAACAAGGAAAGGTTTCAGGAAGGAAAATGATGCAAGGGAATTTTTACTTTATAAACACCTTTCTCTCTCCCTGTCTTAAGGTGTAGATTTGTTAGGAGTCAGACCATGGGCATACAGCTACTCTAATAGTCCAGGGCAGAGCTGAGCAGAACCTGCAGCGAGGTTCTCAGAAAATGCAAATTAGATCTGAATCTCAGACTATTCCAAGACTCCATCTCAATTAAGCAAAACACAACCTGAAACTTCCTTAGGATAAATAGATGTCATAATTTTATGCTGTTTACCAAGACTTTGCTGGGAGGGAAGGCCTCTACTTTCGCCAGTCCCTTGAAGCAATCTTATGCAATGCTGAAACAGGTCTTAGTCTAAAGTAAACTTGAGAAGTCAACCTCAGACCCCCTGACACCTCCCAGCAGTTGCTTAAAATTTTGTAGTTTAGAAAGCTTTGTGTCATGAATTTTGAAATTTTACCAAGATGACAGTAGGACTGAAACACTTGGTTGCTCAAGTCCTATTGTCTCTTGGGGTTCAGACCTGAACCAGTTTCTCTACCTAAGACAGGCCAGCTCCCTAGCTAGTTTGGACTCTGAGATCCCTTCCTTGACACAGCAGCAGGGAGAGTGAGCTCCAGCAGGGAGCCTCTGACTTCTCCCAGGTTTCTCTTTTCACTCTAAGTTCTCTCATTTTTGACCACATCCCCAAAGTTATCCCATTAAGACTGCATAGTAAGGAAGGGGATTGTCAGTAGGGCCTGAGATGAAAGGGAAGAGGAGGACAGCAGCTCACAGCCACAGCAGGGAGGTGAAACCAGGGGCAGCCTTACCTTGTGTAGAGCTGTCCCTGTCTCCTTGCTCTCTCCTGCCCCTGTTCCTCTTTTCTTCTTGACTTGCCCCTCTTTTTTTTCACTATGGTCTTCCTACATTTTCTCTGGACATTTCCATGCTTTAAGATTTTTGTGCTTTATCCTTAGTGATGAAATGAGTCTTGTATATTGGAGTATTTTCAGGGACAGAAATAGCTTTGAGAAGTTAGTGAGGATTCCATCTAACAGAACCAGCTTCTTAAAAATGCTCAAGGTTAAACTTCTAGGTCTCTTCTGAATAAAGAAATGAGCAAATTGTAAGGAGAAAATACGGTTGTATATATTGACAAGGAGTAGGCAATTGGTTATTGTGACAGTGAAGGCGTGAGTGTGTATAGAAGGTGCACATCACAGAGTGCATGTAGAGAATGTGCATCATAAAGGATACATGATGTTCAATGTGTGCATCACTCACTCCCTTTGGCCTTTTCCTGCAGTCAAGAACTTGGTTATTAAGGGACAGATGCTGGCAAAAGTAGTGCATTGTGTTACACAAGCAGGGTGGGCAGACTAAAGTGA